CTCTGCCATCACCACATAATCATTTCTCAATATAACATCATCTTCAGAGCTAATGTCCTCTAAAAAAACAGTAACTTTACAGTGGAGGGATCTGCCATACACGACCTCAGCCAAGTGATCCAGGTTGACATCAATAGTGATCAAGTCATGTTGATACTTGTACCCAAGATATGATGAAATGAGTGAGAATGGCACTTTCTCCCCCAAATCCACAACCTCCATCCATCAAGAGAAACACCAGACAAATCCAGATTGAAGGATGTTCTACAAAATACCTGACCAGCCCTTCTCCAGACTGTCAATGCTATAAAAAATATGGAAAAGACTAAGAGAAGCCTAGAGAGACATGACAACTAAATGTAACGTGGAGTCCTGGAACAGAAAAAAGTGACATTAGGAAATCTGAATACAGATTTTTAGATAATAATGTACCGACATTGGTTCATTGTGACATATGTACCATAGTAATGTTAACAATAGGGAAAACTGGGTATAGGCAACTCTCTATATTATTCTTGTAGGTTTTCTGTAAATCTAAAATTTCGATTCTATAAATATAAAAGATTATTAAATATGAAAACACACACACACACACACACACACACACACACACACACACATACACACACACACACCCGACCCATGTCTTCCTTCTCTTCTATGCCCTTTCCCACTTTCTTTCACAGGGAGCCTTGAAAGAGTTGAGTATTGCTATGGTCTTTATCCCTCAAACCCAGCCAGCTCCTCAGTCTATTCCAATCCTAACCTCCCACCAAAATTGCTCTAACCTCTCACCAAAACTGCTCTTGTTGAAATCAGTGATGACCTCCATGCTGGCAAATCCCCCTTCTCTTACCTTTCAGTCTAGTGTATGATGCAGTTCAGTATTCTTCCTTTCCATAGCACCCTCATCTCTCGGCTTTGAGGATACCACACCCCTGAATTTTCCCTGCTCATTGGCTGTTCCTGCTCTGTCTGGCTTCTACCAGTGGCCCAGACTATGTCGTAGGACTCTTCTTTGTCTATACTCTTATCTCATAGGTCTATTTCATCCCCTCTCTCTGCTTTAAATACAACTTACCTTCTGCCAATTTCCAAATGTGTATCATCTCCAGCTTTAATCCTTTGGACAGGGACTATTGTCACGGCCATTTTACAGAACAGCAGACGCAGGCTGTCAGTGGCTTATTTGAGGTTGCATAGAGGGATGCAGCAGGGCTGAGATTTGAACCCAGGTCAGTCTGACTCTAGGCCTATGCTGTGAGCTGCCCTGATGCCCCCTCCCTTCATCCCATCCCCCATCCTGCCTGCTCCCCAGGACCTCCTGCATGTGCTGTTCCTTCAGGCCTTTGTCCTCTTGGTCTGTTCCTACTGGAATGTCCTCTTTCCATCCCCTTACCTCTAGAATATTCTTTCATCCCGCTCCAGTGGGGAGCTTCTCCATTCCTGAGATCTAGGTTGATCTCTCCTGGCTGCTCCGAACTCTCTCAGGAGCTGGAGCCCACCCTAAGACAATGGAGAGCTCGTTTACAACTACAGCTGACTTGCTTTCTGAACCCACAGTGGGGCCCTTGACCCAAGTACAGTCGCACCCTTGGGGACAATGAAGCATGATCCAGCACTAGGATGACTGAGAAAACTGGGCCAGAGGCCTCCATCATACACCCTCTCGTGCAGTGGTCTGAGTTATCCAGGGTGGTGTTTCCCCTACCCATTGGTAAACTTTTAGAGAACAGGGATCATGCCTTCGTTGAGTATCATTTTTAAAAACTGGGTATGTGTGTGCACATTGGATGGGGTTGAGGAAGTACTTCAAAACCCCCTTCTCCTGGGTCCTGGGGGACCAAGGAAAGTTCATTTCAGGAGTGAAGGGACTGACATGGGCTTCACTGAGGTCACAGAGAGGCCAGGAAGTCCCACAGTTGTCACTAGTTCAATGGAACAGTTGGAAGAAATGGAGGTGACGCAATCATGATCATTTTGGAAGAACTGAAAGTGCCCGAGGGAAGTGACAAGGAAAAGGCTAGAAGGAAGATGTGGGAAGGGCCGGGTCGGAAAACTGTCATGCTGGTTAAGAGAGGACTGACCTCGGGGCAAAGGACATTGGCACTTTCACATATGTGGGTTCGGCTGTGGACCCCATGATGCTGACCTGGGCTCTGACCCCGACATGGTCACTAACTCACTGTGTGACTACAGACAAGTCAGTCTCCCTGGGTCTCAATTTCCTCATCTTTAAAACGAGGTAGAAAAAAGAAATGATGGTGTTGGGCGACAATGCTTTTTGGCCCCTCTCAGCATCCCAAGTTGATCTGAGGTTACAACTCCAGTGCTGTTGTACTGGCCCTGGGTCACCCCTGCCTCTTGGACGGAAGAGCTGGTCTTCTACAAGCCTCCTGGTAAAAGTTCCTTTTCACAAAAGGCAGAGGGTGGCCGTGGCCCAGGAGAGGAAGGCTGTAGATGGTTGACTCATGCATGTTGTAAAGGAATTAAATCTGCATTTTCTTATTTTTAAATTCATTTTTCTTTTGAGTTGTAGTCTCACTCTGTCGCCCAGGCTGGAGTGCAGTGGCATGCTCACCGCCACTGTAGCCTCGACCTGCTGGGCTCAGGCAATCCTTCTGCCTCAGCCTTCTAAGTAGCTGAAACTACAGGTGCACACTACCACACCTGACTTATTTTTTGATTTATTGTAGAGTCAAGGTCTCACCAAATTGCCCACGCCAGTCTCGACCCCCTGAGCTCACGCAATCCTCTCGCCTTGGCCTTCCAAAGTGCTGGGATTACAGGCTTCAGCCACCATGCCCAGCTAAATCTGCATTTTCATTCACTCTCCGCCCCCAGTTGAAATGTCCATCAGAGACCATGCTGCAGGATGGGATCAATTTTGCCTTGCATGGCTCAGAGGGGGCGGGATTGGCCCTTCTCCACCAGGTGGGGGCCTCCTGGTGCTCCAGCCTTGGGTCTTAGCCCCCTCTGGGTGAAAGATTTCTCCTCCAGGGGCTAACAGCCAGGGTTATTGCTGAGAAGCTGTCACACCCCACCCGGGAAGGCTTGCCTAGGGTGAACATCTCCAGAATCAGGAGGAACCAATGCCTGAGTGACTGCCAAGTCCATGCAGGACTACTGCCTCTGCCTTGTCACACCTGGCTTGCAGGCACAAACCGACTCCTAAGCCACCTGAATTTTGAAAACTAGGTATCAAGCGCATTTCAGTCACAGTCCTCCCTGGATTACTTGAGACAAAACACAAGGCAGCGATGGGTTGTGTGTGGCCTGTGCCTTGTACCTGGAGGCTGAACTCCTCTGACCCACCAGGGACAATGGCTTCATTGTTCTTCCCCATTGTTGGCCGGACTTGGAAGCAAGAGGAACTTGGAGCTACCCTATCCTCCACCAGGGGCAGGGGGACATAGTCACAGCCTTCGGTATGGGTAAGATGTTGCCAAGGACAGCACTGTGGACCCCATGGGCCCACTGACATTGTTGTGGAGCCGGGATAGTGCCCTTCCAGGCCTCAACCCTGAACTTGCTAATGTGCTAAAGCGACTCTGCTTTTGAAGGATGAGCTGAGGCGCGTCATTCCCAGAAGAACATCAGAAAAGAACAGGTGATGTTTTCAGGAAGTCCAAGATGGCAGGAAGAGGTGGGTGGCAGTCTGGGAGAGCCCAGAGCCTCCAGCCTGAAGGTCCAGACCCCAAATGTGGGAAGAGAAGAGATGGGAAGAGTAAGCAAAAAGAACCAGAATGAGGTCTAAAGATTAAAGTAATAAAAACATGAATTTTCTATTTGAAAAATGAGAACTGACTCCTATCCTAAAATCCACCTCCCATCCAGTGGTGTGAGGGTATGAGAGAAGCACTGGCCAAGAAGGGGCTTCAGTTTCATTTCTCCCATCAGTAAGTTGTGACTTGCATAGGTCACGTCATAAGATTTTCAGTTTTATCTGTAAAATCGGTATTCACGGCATTACTTAGACTTAGGATCTAGTGAGGTAACAAGGTAACATATGAGACCACACTATATGGACCAAACTAGGTGTCAGGCTCTGTGGCTCACACCTGTAGACCCAGCTACTTGGGAGACTGAGATGGGAGAATGGATTGAGGCCAGGAGTTTGAGACCAGTCTGGGCAACATAGCCAGACCTTGTCTCTACACAAAATTAAAAAACTAGTTGGGAGCTGTGGCACATGCCTGTAGTCCCAGCTACTCAGGAGGCTGAGGTGGGAGGATCGCTTGAACCCAGGAGTTTGAGGTTACAGTGAACTATGATCTGCCACTGTACTCCAGCCTGGGCGACTGAGACCCTGTCTCTGAGAGAACAGCAACAGCAGCAAAAACCAAACTGCTAGGCAGAGTGTATGATGCTGGAACAGCTGGTTCTAGAACTGACAGTGTGAGCAGAGGCTGCTGTTGGGTCTCTACCCCCCCAGGTCACACCATGGAGACAGCTTCCTACTCATAAACTGGTCATGGTTTGGAAAAATAAACTCTGAATTAGGGAACACATCACGCTCGTGCCTAGTTCCGAGCTTTTCTTGAGCTCTGGCCCAGGTTGTCTCTGTTCCTCCCATCTACATCCTGCCTGGGAAGGCCCCACCGGGTCATCTCCAAGTTGAAGTCCTTTCTGACCGCGAGAGCCCTTTTTCTTTGGAACTTCCATCCCAAAGTATAGCTGTGAGCACACACAGACCTGTACTTTTCTGAAAGCAAGGACTGTGACTTCTTTCCTTGGGTTACCCATAGGGGACCAAAAATGGCCCTGAGGCAGGCAGAATAATACCTGCAGAAATATGGAAGGCACAATGTAGCTTCTCCATCTCAGGCAACTGCTGAGGATTGACAAGGCTCTTTCACCGGTCTTCCAGTTACCATACCTTGGCTGTCTCATAAACGTCAGTGCTGTGTTCGTTTGCTATAAACTAATGAATACATACTTCACTTTACCTTGTGTAGCCCATGATAACCCCACAGGAAACAAGAGCCACCAGCAGTGGTAGGATCAGAATACTTTAATAAGATATCAGTGTCAAAATACATTTCCTTATAAAGTTAAGCTCTCATATAGTTATACTGTTGTCAGTAGGAATTCGACAATATGATAAACTTCATGAGATCGTTACGTTGACAGATAAGGTTAATACGAAGCTTGGAATATTTTTCAGAGTGTTTTAGTAAAACTGCAAGGGTAAAATGCCCTTAATGCTGGGGCAACACACACAGGAAATCAAATACCAGCGTGTACACGTCAGTAACCCTTCAAGTTCTGCTGCCGTGTGTGGGCAATGCTGTGCCGCTAGAATATGCTGGAGGCAACACCGTGAATACGTAATTTTCCCCATAGAACTTACATTTGTTTTGAGAGTTAATTTTTGGTTTTGGCACTAAGTCCATCCAGGCTTACCAAATGCTTGGCCTGATGTGCATTTGTGTGTGTGTGTGTGTGTGTGTGTGTGTGTGTGTGTTTTAGAAACTTCTCCATTGTACTCATGGCAGAAAAGTTCCATATGGTTGGTATTTAAAAACCAAAGGTGTTGTCCCTCTGACCCAGTGAGTTACAAAGTGCCCTGGGAACACTCTGTTTTCAGTGCTTCCCACCTATACACATCGCTTCTCATGACCCAGAGACCTCAGGGCCTGAGGCCGGGGACTGTCCGTGGAGGTCTGCCTGCTGCTGCCAGCAGGGTCACAGTACCGTGACCTGGCAGGGCCAATCTGGCTGCAGGACCAGCAGCGCTCCCTGTGGGCACCTCCCTCTGTCCAGCTCTGTTGTACTCCAAGGTCGCGAGCCAGGAGGACGTGGACCGGGTCACTACAGCATCTGTGAATCCTCACTTTTCTTATATGAATTCCCATCTAAACCATTTCATGGTAGTTCTGGAAATATCCAAATGTGCCGCGTGAAAGACCACCAGAGTCACATAGCTCAGTGCACTTGAAGGGCTAGCAACGAAACCTTAAGAAGAGTTAAAGCACTTCCCCTCCCTCAGCACTTGCCCCACCCCCACCCGCCGACCCCGTGACGTGCCATCAGACCCTCTTGGCAGCAATAATTAATACACATATACATAGTACATAGAGAACGCGAGGAGACAGCTTGCAATGCTCCCACTTAAGGATTCCACGTCCCTGGATTGTGTGTCACACCTATGGCATATCACAAAAGCAGAAAGCCAACAGAGAGAGAGATCTTTTTCAGGGTTAATACAGGCCTGTGGGAGTTCTGTACAATTCCGCAGTGTCAGCAACACCAAGAAAAATAAAATTAACAGCTTAAACAAGGTCATAAAGTGATTTTGTGAGCAGGATTCCATTTCCGTTTCTAAGTTTTTAGATATTACAAAGTACCCATATATATGATAAAACACTTAACCCAGATATAAATTCTCTTTTTAAAAAACTCAGTTATGTTTTTGAATAATAATAATAATACAAAACCCATTGAATGGGGGGAAAAACACCAAACAGTTTAGGAAAAGCCACACTGTGCAACTTTCACAGAAAACCACATACGTTGGAGTTCACCCTTCACATTTCTTTTTTTCTAAAAGTTATATCAAAATTAGAGCAGAGATTCGGCTTAAAAAAAAAAGACTGAAATTTACAATATGGTGATTAGTTTAAAAAAGAAAGGAGAAGGGTTTTGAAAAGGAGAAGTCACAAATCAAGTTTGGAAAGCAAAATCATTTTTGTTTCTCTTTGGCAACAACAATAACAAAGAATCTTTTTAGTTAAATGAAGCCAAAGCTTTCCCTACAGAACAAACATATACCAGACTTCTTGTTAGTATGGATATCTGTGTGTGTGGGTGGGGTGGGTGGATGTGGGTGGGTGTGTGTGTGTGTGTGTGAGAGAGAGAGAGAAAGAGAGAGAGAGAGGGAGAGAGAGAGAAAGATGTAGGAAGAGGGAGGGAAGGAAAAAAACCTATGGAAAATATAAATTAGAAGTAATTGAAGATGGGAGAAAGAACAAGTCTTATAAAATTTAAGAACATTTCCATTAACAGAGCAAAACAGAGGAGGTAAAACAACTGCTTATTTTAAAAATATGGATAATAAAGTGAGCATCTCAGAAAAAGGCCACTGCTGGGTGACCTGGGCAAGTCTGCCAGGTAAGTCCATCTTGTAAAAAGTGTGCTGGCGTTAGAAATACCTAGTTGCAAAAACAGAGATGGAGGGTGAAGCTGGTGGGACGGTGTCGGCAGGGGGGCTGCCCAGGGGTAGGCCCCGCTCAGGTGGCCTGGTCCAGGGCTCTGAGGAGGTCACCTCCTTGCAGGAGCATGGAGCTTCCCAGCATGGGCACGTTCACCTCACAGTCATATCTGGTCAGTTCGGGCAGCAGGTAGGGCTCAAACGAGGGCCCGAGCAGCCGGCTTGCCATGCCTGCAAGAATGGTGAGTCCCATTATTGAAAGGCCTAAATCAAACCTTTGGAAAAGAGTCTGTTCTGTGAGAGGCTAGAGGGATGAGAAGGACACGTGCAGAAAGAGGCCTTTCCAGTTTCTGTGACCGGGGGATACCTGGGGGCAGCCCTAATTTCACTCCTTCAATGTTGTCCTTCCTGGGACTCCCTAATCAGGGGTTGGGCTCAGCAGAGCATGTGTCTGCCTCCTGCCCTGGTTCCCCAGATAGGGTGCTGAGCCCCCAAGGAAGAAAAGAGCTTTGGTGAAGACAGCAGAGGTGGGGTGGACAGGGGAAGCTGGGTGGAAGGAGCCCTCACAAAGGCTTCCTGGCCTTGGAGGACCCAGCTTCAGGAAGAGCCCTGGCAAGGCCTGGCGTTGCTGACCCTGTGCCCGCGTGTCCTGGCAGCAGGGAGGAAAGGCTAAGCAGAGAGAGAATTTGGACCCATCTGGCACCTGTGTACACGTGCATATAGACATACGCACATACATGCACGTGAACATGGACTTGCCACACACAGACACACGTGTCTTCCCAGATTCAAGGGCCTGAAAATCCAGTTTCTGATCATCACTCTCGACAGCCCTCACTTCTCACCCCGGGGTCATTCTCCTGCTGAGTAGGTAAACCAGGGGAGGGGCAGAGGGGATACTTCCAACTCAGACAGGCCCCATCCCAGGCAGGGAAGGCTCAGGTGGCAGCAGACAGCTTGCAAGCTCTATCACTCTGCTCTCCTGGTGTGAGATGCCCACCTTCCCGTCCCTTGGCACATCCGCAGAGCCTCATCCCCGGTGGCCACTTTCTCCTGAACTTTATATTCTAGCCCATACCCTTCTTGGGGTGCATGCCTGCCTCTCCCCTACCTCAACTGCACTCCTGTGGTCAGAGGCCAGGACAGCAGCAACATATACTTGGGCCTCATCCCTTGCTAATTTCCTTCTTTTATTCATGGTCAGAAAAAAACCTGAGTTGAAGAGATTATGGTTTTTCCCTTGACTCCACTATGCAAGGTAGCTTGTGGGTGTCCCAGCAGGAGGGATAATGCTGGCTTCCTTCAGCTGAACTCAAATACCGGCTACCAAGCTCAACACTTGGTGCGCACACCTCTCGTTTAAACGTGCTGACTAGCTCTGTCATCCAGTAGTCAACAGTCATGCTGGATTTTAAGCCTAGGGCTGTCTGGTGGCTCTACAGCCTGGACTCTGAAGCACAGAACTATAATTTGTACCCAACTATATTGCTGAGAAAATAGCCCTCTTTTAGGACAGGGGTCTGGTATGTTTTTCCAAGACCACAAATTATGTTTCTGCCCAACAAAAACCTTTCCGTGAAGATATCTATCCTCTATGTTTTGCAAGATGCTATCAGAAGAAGGCAGCCCATGGTTCGAGGCAGGTGTGCACCAGTGGCTGCTGCTAAACATTCCCAGAAAATAAAGTCTGGTGGGGCAGGCCCAGCAAAGCTCAAGCTGCTCTCCCTCGGGCACATGTTCTCAGTTCAGCTCCTGTCTGGACTCACAGGGAAGCTCCAGTGTGTCCAGGGGGCTTTAAATACAGCAACGTGAAGAACTGAGTAAAGGAACACAGGTTCTGGGTGGAAAGAGCCCTGGATGTCACCTGATCATGAGAGGGTTCCTTCTGAAGCACTGGGGACAGATAGCTTTCCAGTTCCTGCTGCAATACTTCTGGGGATGGAGAATCATACCTCCAGGAGTAGCTGCCTTTCCATGTAGCAAGCTCATCCTTGCACAGAGTCAAGACCTGTGTCCCTGTACTGTCTGCCCCAATCCTCCCCAATCTCTCCCTGTCACTCTCCTTCACTTTCTCTTCTTCTTCAACATGCCCTCACCACTGTGGTCACCCACTCTTCCTCTGAAAGCACTCCTGTCAATCAACACCCTTCAGTTTGGGGAACAGTATGGTGCTCTAGGGGCAGCCAAACCGGCATCCAGCTCTCTGTGGTCTAGACTCTTTCCTTCAGTTGCACTAGCCCGAGCTTGCACCAGGCTTTGGGGGCTTTTTAGTGGTGACTTACACCCACTCCCATGGGAGGCCTGGATGCTGATGTCAGAAGGAACCTGTGAGGAGGTGCCCTAAATCCAAGGGGGCCTGAGCCCTAGGAAGGTGGGTCTTTTGGTAAGTCATTGCCAAGCACCCCTGCATCCAGCACCATGCAGACCCTGGAAGAAAGAAGAGATGGACTTGGCCCTAGGGACCCCAGTACCACAGAGGGTGGAGGAATCCTATGCGCAGTACCTAGCAGGCCACCTGGGGATAGCAGGCACTCAGTGAAGGCCATTGTCTTAAGTCTGTGATGCTGTACTCCTGTTGTACAAGATACCTGGCCTTTCATTCCTCCCATCAGACCCAGGACAGGGGCCCCGGTTCCCGGGCACACACACCTGACACCTTGTGCGCCGATGGCTGGCTGTAGTCCTGGTACTGGGCATAGCATTGTGGAGGGAAGCCTCTCTTGGCGTTCTCTCGGGGGCTTATGGCAGATGGTGGCTCTGGCGGTGGCAGATGTCTCAAGGGCTGGCTCAGGCCCCTCATGGGGTTTTGAGTGAACTCATCTGAAAGACCAAAGCCAGAGAGTGAGGGGTGTATCATCCTGAGGGAAGTGAGAGGCTGCGGAACCCCCCAGAACCCCCTTTCTTTTACAAAAAGGCACTCAAGAGTCACCAGAACCACAGCCAGCCCCAGGGCCTCAGAGCCCAGAGATTTCTGACAGTGTCATCCAAGCCAGGGCGGAAAGGGACAAGCCAGGTGTTTGGAAGATCGGAGAGGGGGGCAAAGGTTGCCAATGCTTTCTAACAAAGTTCAGAGAGGAAAGCAAGACCGCAGTGTGCCGGGGAACCAGGATGGGCCCCTGAGCCCCAGCCCTTGAGCCCCAAAAGGCCTGGGCCTGTGGCACTCCTCACCATTGGGGACACTGGCACTCAGTGACTTGTCCGGCATCAAAGGGCAGCCCCCGCCCCTGAGGCTCTTCATCCGTTTCCACATCGCATGTGAGGCGCTGCTGCCGCTGCCGGGTGGCTCCCCCTGGGTGTGGGAAAATCAGATGTAGCTGGGAGAGGGCCAGAGAACCAGACCCGGGCTGAGTCGGGGCAGGTGGGCAGGCGGGTGCTCGCTGGCTCTGACAGGCCACGTCTCACCCGTCCCTGCAGCCCTGGCAGGCAGGCACCCTGGGGTCCTCACAGCCATCCTCCCGCCCAGCCTGCCCCAAGGCCAGTCGGGAGATGGCTCACCCCGCTCACGTCCTGGAAGGCTTGCTCCTCATACTCCAGCTGTCGCTTCAGCTTCAGCTTGTTGGAGAGGGCTACCATGGCCGGGCTCATCACGTCCGGGCCCCGAGGCCCGAAGCCCTTTGCAGACCTGCCAAGCCCAAGAGAGCGGGCCGTGAGGGAGTCTGGAGCCGAATGACGCCCTGGGCCTTTGCCTGATCTCGGAGGTGCTTTCGGACCCCAAATTTATGATGCCTAGGACTCAAAGACCCGGAGAGCAGAGTCTCTGGTGGGGGGAGGCTGGGCTTCCTCGGCTCCCTCTACTTGGTGAGATGCTGAAGTGTTCAGGCTGTGTCAGGCGCACACAGGCAGCCTTCGGCCCTGGTCTGGCGTGTGACAGTCCTTCTGGCCCCTCTCTCCTTTCCCTCTTTCTCCCACTGAAGGCTAGCTAGGCTGCTCTGTAAAGCTTCTACCCAGAGAAGCATTGCCAGCGGACCCTGGGAGCTCTAAGTCATGTACCAACTGCCCGGCATGGCCCAGGGAGCTCTCAGCCAGGTGAGAAGGGGCATGTTGGGGAGATTTGAAGGAACGGAGGGAAGGCAGGAAGGGGGAGGCACTGCCACTGCTGGAGGCTGGGCACAGCTCAGAGAGGCTGCTGTGGTGGAAAGGGGACCCCAGGCAGTCAGAAGGCAAGGGGGAGGCATGGACATCGTCTTGCTTTTTCAACCAGGGTTTCAGGAGAGAACTGAGAAAACAGTCACTGAAATAATTCTCTGTGTTCTGTGGCTCAGATGATGAGCCCTGGATAAGAAAGGTACTCTCAAGGTGGTCCACAGGGAGACATCAGGGTTCAGGGCTCCCCACAGCCACTACTCTCCCTCTACCTGTTCTCCGTCCCCTGCTGATCACCTCCAGTCCTGACAAAAGACTGCCCTGCTCCAGGGCTCATGCACCTCGAGGCAACGTCTGAAAGCCCAAGCTCTGAGTTCAGAGACGGGCCATGTGGAGTAGCAGAAAGACGGCCGTGGGCCCCAGCCGTCCCACCAGTGGATGCCTCTCTGCCCCTCGTGTTCAGTACGCCCGGCTGGTGCAGCCGAGTGTCTGCCCCTTACCTCGTCTTGAATGTGGAGACATGAGACGAGGACACGGGGGGCCCCAGCGGCGACGCTCCCAAGGACTCCACAGGCTGATCCCCAATGGACCACTTCGGGGGCCTGAAATGTAATGGTGGATCCGGGGGCCACTGTGTGTTCGATCTGCCCCCCATGGAAGAGAGAGGGGTGCTGGCCTGGCCACAGCACGGGGGCAGGTTCGCCTTGCTTCCAGCGTCGAAGAAGATGGAGGACATGGGCCAGTGCTCGGGCTCTGTCTTCTTGCCCTCTGTCTGCTGCTGATACTTGTCCAGGAGGAAGGGACTGTGTGAGGCCACGGGGGCCAGGGGCTGGAAGATGTTTGTCATGGCACTGAAGCAGTACTGGGGGGTGGACTGCGGGGTCTCTGGCAAGAGCCGTTCTTCTGGGCAGATGGGGCTCAGCTGGAAGTCTTCCCCATCCATGGGGATGTAGGGTGCCAGTGTCTCCAGGTCCAGCTCATTGAAATCCGTCTGAGGGGACACAGAGCAGTCACAGAGGCTCAGTGGTCCTTCCCAGGCCTTTACCAGAGCCATTCGTCTCAATCACAGCTTCATAGTGTCACTCCCCTGCTCAGACACACTGCTCTGTCTCCCTATGGCCCATCAGAAAAACCTCACCCTTGGCCATCCCAGTGTGCAAGGCCTTCTATCACGTGACACTAGCCTTTCCCCATGCATGCTGTCTTTGCCCTGTGCCAAGAATCTCCATGCTTCACTAGTCCTCTCCTCGCCCCCACCCAACCACAAACGCCCTCCCTCGCTATCCTGCCGATCCAAATCTGGCCTCCTCTCTTTCAGCTGCCCACCTCTCCTCAGAGCCCTCCTAGTCTCCAGCCTGTGGTGGTCACCCCTTTCCCGGTTGGCCTCCAACACTGAGGCCTGTGATGCAACTATGGCTTCTGGAGCCAAGGATAACTTGTCCTCATCTCCCTGGTGTGCCTCGGCATGGGCGTGGACAAGCAGTAAGTGCCTAGGGTATATCTGTGGACTCTTGCGGAGTCACAACCAGGCCCTAGGGGTTGAGGGACTTTTGTTCCAATCAGCAGATGCTCAGAGAGTGTCCCTTAGGTTCGACAGGAAAGACTCACAGGTGCAGTACACACAGTTTCTACCTTCAGAGACTGACAACTGCGCTGGGGAGCTGCAGTGGCCTAACAGTCACAACTCTTCAACATGCTCAAGGAGCAGAGGCAGATAACTGAGATTAAGCCCTAAGGAAGCAACCCCACAGGAGCTCCGTGGAGAGAGAGGGCAACCGAAAGGCTGAAATAGGGACAGCTCTGCACACAACACCTGGGACCCGTGCCAGGGAGGACAAAGACACAAACCGAGGGGAAGGCGGAAATTGGAATGAGCAACTCAGACTCAGACAAACGGGGGATCAATGATCTTTGCTGGGGTTTTGTAGAATACACCCAATCTGCCCACCTCATCCTTGTCTACACAGTTCTTCCAAAAACATTCGGCTGCAGGGAATAAATGTGTTCCTGAAAAGTTGTGTGTAACTGAACACTTGTCAAACTGATGTCATTTTAAAATGCATTTCAAAGAAAACAGTCATTAAAAAAAAATGCCAAGTTGAATGTGTTTGTGAAAGGATGGACTGTCCCCTATATTTACCAGCATTTTATTAACCTGGGTATGCCTGTTACATGTAGGTCCCTAGTTTGGGTTTTCAAGCGCACCGAGAAAGTTATTCAATAAGTAGAAGATTAATAAGTTAAAGTGAGTTAAAAACGGAGCTGGATTTGAAGTGGGAGGAGGGGATGGCCACAGGCCCCACTTCCCTGCACCCCCACCCTTTTAGGGGGCCTGGACTCTGGCCCAGCATCCTCACTCCTCCTTGCAACAAAGGGAAAAGCTTCAAGAGTGGACATGGGCCTTTGCTGCTGCCACATGGCTGCACGCACACCAGCGTGGTCGTCTCCACAGCCACCCACCTGGGGACTGCACTGGTCCTGGGCCTCTGTATCCATGGCGAAGAGCTTCTCAATCACTTCAATCTTCAGGTCCTTATCCAGAGCTGTATAATAGTCTCCAGGGCTGCTGGGCTGGGGGCCAGGAAGAAAGGGGACAGAGTCAAACCTATGGCACTGGTGCCCCCAGAAGTCCAGCATGGAAGGAGAAATACATTCCTGTACCCAAAGATTAAACTCCTTTCCACCAACAAGTGTTTGTAGGGGAGCCACTACTCATGAGCCGTGTGGGTAGTGGCTCCCAATTCACCGCCCTCTCTGAACCTCATCATAAAATGAGGCCAGTGACACTTCACAGGTTGTCTTGAGGAACAAACAGGACACAGGCTGTGGCCAGCAGGACTCTGCAAAGCATGCAGCTCTGTGCCCGACACAGGATGGTCCCTGCCCTGCATGGAGGCTCAAAGTCCTTCCAGGAATTTATTTCAATGGGGGAAGGAGATGGACACTAAAAGTAAGAAATCAGCTCTAAATCAGGGTAGGTAAGTCTCATGGTCACTCTAGGGGGCTCGGTCATGACTTGAGGAGGAAGGTGGTACTTCTGTCCAGAATGTCCCACGGAGACCACCCTCTCCGTGGCATCACCCAAAGGGTGGGGGGGGCTCACCGTGGAGCAGGTGCTGCTGCTGGTGGCACTGGGGGTGGTGCTGCCCGGGGCAGCTGCCTGGGGCACAGTGAAGGCAGGCAAGCTCCCGGCCTCACTCTGGGTACTGTGGCTCCTCAGCTCTGCCGCCCATGGCTGGCTCGGGGGCAGGATGGCCTTGCTGTAGGCCGAGGACTCCTCGAAGTTCTGGTTCCCTGTGGAGACAAGGGCCTGGGAGGTGAGCACCCGGAACCACTGGGCTCACCTCAAGGCAGAGGAAGCCCAAACGGTGTACAGAAGGTCCTAAAAGGGTCTCTGGAAAGGGCAAGGCCCTCGGCACCGTGGAGCTTTGCTGGGACAAATGGACCTCTGACTGGGACTGGGGGAATGTAGAGACTCCCTTGAAAGGGCACATTCCCCGAGTGTTTAATTTTCAGAAACTAAACAATGTGGAGCTACCCTTCCTGAAGAGCAATTCCAAATGTCGATGGCGTTATGACAGGAGAGCGGGGCCATCTGCCTCTACAGCCAGCAAACAAGGAAGCCGCGAACTGCCCTTCATAAGTTGCAGTTCTCGTGTGGCCACTCAAGATACCACTACAAGGGGCTGAGATGGCCCAGGGTGAGCACTGTTCTTCCAGTAGTCATGGCAGGGTCAGTGGGGTGTGACAGTGGGTTGGTAACTGGGAAGGGGCTTCAATGTGTCCATGATGGGAGGGGGGAAGGGCCGCAAACCCTGCCGGGCACCCCAGTGACTTGCACCTGGAGGGGCAGGCAGGGCTGAATCCCGTACCTCCATCTGTTCTCTGTGTTTCTGGAATGCTCCCTCCCAACTTTATTCCAACTTAGCCTTCCACCTAAACAAGCAATCTGCCCTTCAACACCCAAGCAGGGATCTACCCCCACCCCGACAGTGTCCAAGTGGCCTCGTAGCAGGGATCTACCCCCACCCCGACAGTGTCCAAGTGGCCTCGTAGCAGGGATCTACCCCCACCCTGACAGTGTCCAAGTGGCCTTGTAGCAGACCCTCATCTACCCTTCCCTCTCACTGTCATCATCATTACTTCATTGTCATCAGACCCTCATGGCCTGTCATGTAGAGCTGTCTCCTCAGGAGGGCGCCCCTCTTAACCCCTCCTGGTTCAGCACCTCGTGAGGTTGGATATGGGGAGGCCTTACTCAGGGGCAGGTGCATCTGCTGGTCTTTTGTGCCCAGCAGAGCCTGGTCTCTCATAGGCGATTAGCGAGACTTGGGGAAGGGGCAGGGGTATCTCTGGTTGAAGAAGAGCTGTAGCAGGGGAAGCCTGTTTCGGTAAGAAGTTTCCCCAGCCCCAAGATGGCTCTAATGGTCTGGCTCAGCTCAGAACACCCACCAAAATCCAGAGAAATGATGACATCCCCTGGCGTGGGGGCCAGCTGGGCCAGCTCCTCGGGCTCCTCCTTCAGCTTGGTGAATAGGAAGTTACTCTTCTCAGACACGGCCACCTTGCTACTGCTGTCGAAGATGCCGTTCATGGCCATCAGGTGGGGCTTGAACAGGGATTCAGTCTGGTCCATGGAGAATACCACGTTGTTCTTCTCAATCTCACTAAGGGGAGAGAGAGATGTTTAGCCCCTCCACATTTTCTGGCAAAATCTGTGCCTTCAGACACATGGAAACCCTGAGAGTTACCTTTCATTCAAAAAAGATGGGTTGTGGCCAGGCTCAGTGGCTCAGACTATAGTCCCAGCACTTTGGGAGGCTGAGGTGAGTGGATTGCCTGAGCCCGCGGATTCGAGACCAGCCTGCGCAACTTGGAGAGACCTTGTCTCGACAATAAATTAAAAAAAAAAAATTAGCCAGGTGTGGTAGCGTGAGCCTGTAGTTCTAGCTACTTGAAAGGCTGAGGCAGAAGGATTGCCGGAGCCCAGCAGGTCGATGCTACAGTGGCTGTGAGTGCGCCACTGCACTCCAGCCTGGGCGAAAGAGTAAGACTCCAACTCAAAAAAAAAAAAAGAAAAGAAATGAAAAAAAAGATGGGTAGGGACCCCTGTGTGTTGGCATTTTTGCAAAGAACCATGCAGTGGAAGCACGCAAGTTGTGGAGGTGGTGACTATGGGAGCGTCCTCTGAATGTATGTCTGCTTCAGATGCTGTTTCATTATTGCACTTGGGCTGAGTGGTAGTGTACATAAGGCCTGAATGCTTTTGTTTTTGTTTGTTTCACCCTAGTGAAGACGTCCTTGACCCTCTACTCAGGTACTATAGAGCTAAGGTGGTATATCTTCTTTTCCCAGAAGGCATAAGCAATTCTTTTTTCTTTTTTCCCCACTCAGGAAATATTTAAGCAACAACTGTGTGCTGTTGTCCCCAGCTGGGTCACAGGGATAGCATAAATGACAGCTGAGGGGGGAATAGCAAAAAAAAAAAAAAAAAAAAAAATCCCAAGTGTCCCATCTTCCCAAGACACCCACAGGAAGTCCTCTCAGTTATAAGGATCAGCACCCAGGTGTGGTACCCAGGGTGCTGAGAGACTTGGTGTCCCCAGGCCTGTTGTCCTCAGTCTGGGAAGCTGAGGCACTCCCTTTTACCTGGCCCTGAGCCCCAGCAGCCATCATATACTTACCTCAGGACGTAGTTGACGCACATGATACACTGGGGCTGCAGGTTGCGAGGATTGTAGATGACGGTCCCCTGGGTCTCCAGCCACACATAGCCCCCGTGCTTCGCAAGCATCCGGTACTGGCCACTCACCACCTGACCCTTGGTGCACACTAGGGGAGGAGAAACGGAGCCTGGGCTTAAGGAGGTGGGGGAGCGGCGTGCACCTGAGGCTCGGGAGACCCCACAGGAGTGCGGACAGGACTGCGCAACAGCACAGTGAGGACCAGGGAAAGTGACCTAGAAGGCAGCTTAGAGAAGATCTCAGCCAGCTCCTCATTTTAAGTATAGGAAAAGAGGGCCAGGTGTGGTGGCTCATGCCTGTAATCCCAGCACTTTGGGAAGCTGAGGTGGGAGGATTGCTTGAGCCTAGGAGTTTAAGACCAGCCAAGACAACATGGTGAGACCTCATCTCTACAAAAAGTTAAAAAAAAAAAAATAGCCAGGTGTGGTGGCATGCGCCTATAGTCCCAACTACTCAGGAGGCTGAGGCAGAAGGATTGCCTGAGCCCAGGAGTTTGAGGCTGCGGTAAGCCATGGTTGTACCACTGTACTCCAGCCTAGGTGACAGAGTAAGACCCCAACTTAAACAAACAAACAAATAATAAAGGAATGGAAGGCAAAAAGAAGCTCAGTGACTTGCCCCTGGCTGTCTGTTGAGAGACTGACCCATTCCCTAGCCAGCTTTGCAGTGGCCCATTGCCAATCCCTAACAAGGCAGGTGTATAGGCCAGCTCAGCTGTAGACAAAACCAAGACCAGAACCTGCCTAACTTTCCTCACAGAGCTCATGAGGGTGGGAGAGCCTTCCCTGTCAATCACTCTAGGTGGTGGGGACTTGCAAGCCATCTGGAGGAAGCCAGACCTCAGGGCAGTCTCTTGCAGCAGGCCCACCACCAGTACCCTGCTTGTTTTCCAACTGATATTGCTGATTTTTCCAGGTCATCTGTTAGGTCTGCACAAGGGCCAGGGACCTGTTGGGCCCTCCTAATAGGTTTTTTGCTGGCCTGTAGCAAAGGTGGAGGCAAACCACGCCATACCCTTCTTGGCTGGGGTTGAGACAAGGCTGGGACCCCAGTAGCCTCTGCACCATCTCTTCACAAGCCGGGATGAGTCCTTTACACTCTCCCAACTGCCTAGGAAGGCTAACTGCTTATGACCTGTCCTTTTCTGGATTGTTCTAAAAGTTCCTGTGAACCATGTTTTGACTGTCTACAAACATCGGGGAAGGGGTTTCACATGCCAGAGTGTCCTCTCCCCCGGTCCAGAATGCCCCATCTGTTCCCCTCAAAAAGGGATCCGTAAATCCCTTTACATCATAGTCTTCTGGTGTTAGAATTTCTGGTAATTTTCTGAATGGCCTGTTTACTTTCATTCCTTGGGAATTCACTCTTCAGACCTCCAGCTCAGAAGATCCCAAATCACACAGTACTGGGAAGAGGCAAGGTGGAAAGGTCAGGAAATCTTGCTAGTTCAGGGATTCTGGGAAAGGAACACTCTTTGCTGGTTGTGATTTCCTCCTCTGCAAAATGGGATACGGGCAATAATGGTAGTGATGATAATAATGGCCATTATTAGTGACCAAGTGTGCACTGCTGTTTGTACTGAGGATCACATGTGCCTGCCTGGCTTGTCAAGTACACGCATATTGACCGACTGTCACCAACAAATTTTTCTAGGAAAAGCCACCTCTTTCCCAAAGCTACTAACATGTATGGTGCCCAGGCCCTGTCATGAATAGTTTGTTATACATTTGTGGATACTGTCACGAACAGTTTGTTATACATTTGTGGATAATGTTTCCCCGTGGGAAAATATCCAGGTTACCTCCTGGTAACACAGAAACTCCCCATTCTCCTGGAAGGCTTACAGTCACTGCCCTGTTTGCCAGCCCTTGTGGCCGAGGCATACAGTTTGGTTTATATTTACACAGCATGAAATTCTTGATACTTACAGTCTGCTTGGCACATTTCTACCCTCTTCAAAAGTTAAACAGTCACCTGCAAGGTGCAGGAGTTACTGTAACTACATTTGTAGAGTGCTTTGCAGGGTCTCATAAGATGAAGTCATTTCTGCAAGGAGCTTAGAATACAGCCTCACATGTAAAGCACTCAGCAAGGATTAGTGTTATCGCCATGTCATGTGATAAACAACACCATGAGATATCTATGATCTTTCTCCTGTTTTACAGCTAGAGAAACTGAGGCTGAAAACTACTAAGTGATTTGGTGAAAGGCCTCTTCTCAGTGGCAACAGGAGACAGGATTATAGTCCAAAGGAAAGATGCCTAGTCTAAGCATTTTTGTTTTTCATTAAAAAAAAGCAACTTTATTGAGGTCTAATTTACTGCCAATTAACAAATGCGCCCATTTTAAGCATATAGTTCAATGAGTATGCACCTAGTAACTATCACCACAGGGAAGGCTTAGAACTTTTCCATAAACCCCCAAAATTCCTTATGCCTCTCAGTGGTCAATCTTCATTCACACCCCTGGCTCCAGGCAACTGCTGATGTGTCTGTTGCCACTATATGTTGAAATTGCCTTTTCTAGATTTTCGTATAAGTGGAATCATACGAGAGTATTTACTCTTTTGTGCCTGGCTTCTTTATACTCAGCATGTTTTTGAGATTCATCATGCTGTTGCAGATATTTGCGGTTCATTCCTTTTCGTCACTGAGTAGTATTCCATTGCATGGATGTCCCACAATTAGTTTATCCATTCACTGGTGGATGGATGGTTGTTTTCAGTTTTTGGTTATTATGAATAAAGTTGTTATAAACATTTGTGTGTAAATCTTTGTACGGACATATATCATCATCTCTTATGGGTGTAGCTAGGAGTATAACTGCTAGGTTACACGCCAAGTATATGTTTACCTTATGAGAAGCTGCCGATTTATTTTCCAAAGTGGTTGGGTCATCTTGTCTAATATTTTTAACAAAATTCTGTGCCATAGGATGGATAAATATTTTCTTTTAATATGGGGAAATAAGGCCAGAGGGCTGTGACTTCCTTAACAGAGTCTGAGCCAGACAACAGGTCTTGTGGCTTACAGTACAATGTTTTCTTACTACCTTACCTCGAGCCACAAATCACTGGGAAGACTACCTTCCTTGCTGTTGCCACTGTCCTAAACCATCACGGACGCCTCTCAATCCAAGAAATAACTTTTGTCTTCTCTGTTCTCCTCTGTCTGTGCCACTGGACTCCCCTGCTGCAGTAAAATGTTTCTTGCACAATTTCAAGTGCCTGGAGTTAAATTATTTAAATGGTTCTTAATGCAAACCCAACTGAGGGCTCTTCTTTTTGATTAACCAGTGCAGCGAGCAAAGGTTTTAACTACATTTCTAGCAATTGCAGGCGAAGGTCTGCTCCGTCAATCGAATATAATTAACGCCAGCTTTCTAATCATCTGCTCATTAATGCCAGCCTCAGTGAGGGGCCTGCTACTTGGTAGATAGGCTTTTTATTGCCTTTAATCTTATTTTCCTAAGAGCACATAATATCCTCATACAACAAAGAGAGACCAGCTCCCACCCTCTGAAGACGACAATGTGAAAATTATCAATCCATTTGGAGATGATGGCTTTCAATGATCTAAATCTGGTTGTTTTCCCAGTCATTTCAATAGTAACCTTGACAGGCTGAGACACACACGGGTGCACGTAAATGCGGGACCCCAGTGTGCGAACCTGGACCCATCTCAAACCTGAGCTCCAGTTATTCTGTAACATGAGCATGAGTCTGCAGTACAATTTTACTTGCAAAAACCCAAACAAATGAGGGATAGAGACAGAGATAGAGATGGAGAGGGAGGGAGAGGGAAGGGGGGAAGAGAGACAGAAAGAGTAACTGACATTAACCCAGTTCAATTTTCCTTCACTATACGTGGGCTTGCTGGCTGGGTTCAGGGCTCTGAGCTCAGGATGGCTTTTACTTGGTTCTATCAGGGAAAGAAGAGAACCTGTGATTCCTATTTTGTCTGTGAGCTACCTTTAAGTGTGCTTAAATACACGAACTCAGCAAAAAGCACCTTATTTTCCTCGGAGTCAGTAGAAAACTGATATAACAATTTTTTATCCCAGTCCTTTTCATGAATCAAAGATTTTGTTCGAAGAACAAGGGGAAAAATCCTTTAGATATGCCTAGTGGGAAATCATAATTCTTGCCTTGTTTGACAGTAGCTTTTTTGCTTTCCTTATCCCAGAAGATAAAGTACATACTGAATTCCCAGAAACTTTTTACATTGGTCCCTACTTTGGCTTTGCCTTAGGCTTGGAAGGAAGGCTAGACTTTTCCCTAGCTTTACATCTAAAGGCAAAAAGGCCCAGAAAGCCAAGCCCTCAAAAATCAGTGGGTCAGCTGGGCCAGATCGCAGGGCCCTGAGTTCCAGGGCCTGGATGATTCTACCAACCTGCCTTTGGGAGCAGGAACCTCTCAGAGTCCAGGAAGCATGTGGGAATCCCAAAGGGAAGCCTGAAACCAGATTCTACAATTTCTATCTTCCTTGTTTTGAGACAGGGTTTCACTCTGTCGCCCAGGCTGGAGTTCAGTGGTACGCAATCTCAGCTCACTGCAGCCTCAACCCCCTGGGCTCAAGCAATCCTTCTGCCTCAGCCTCCTGAATAGCTAGGATTACAGGCATATGCAAGCACAGGCTAATTTTTGTATTTTTTATAGGGATGAAGTCCCAGGCTGGTCTCAAACGGTACTCCCACCTTGGCCTCCCAAAGTACTGGGATTACAGGCATAAGCCACTGCGCCCAGCCCTGATCCTACAATTTCAAAGCTGGGACTAGGTCTGGGTCACATTTATGGGCATACAAGAATATCTCCATTCCTCTCTCCCATCCCTGAGTCCCCAAATGGGGCTGAATCTAAGGGGTTTTATTTGTTTTTGCCAGAGGACACAATGAGAAACTTCTCTGAGATATCATCATGGGCCCTGTTGTATGTAGTGTCAGATCAAACCCCAAGATCCATGAGGAAGAAGCAAAGAAACCAGCCTCCTTCAGAGAGCGTTAACTGTGCTCACATACAGTCAATCTTCAGCTGCTTTGAACTTCACCTGTCTGGACCTTGGGGCAGATAGGTGGATTTAGGAACAATGGACAAATGGTTGGACTTCCATTTTCTTCATGGCCAGGAGGGCCACTGGGAATCTTCTCAGACTCACACTGCCCATTCTTAATCCTTCTACAATTCTCTCAGCACCAGTGTCTGTACCCCTGTGGGCACTTCATTGGAAGCAATCTTTCCCAAATATAGTTCTTGCCAGATACTATGTTAGGTACTGAGCCCCCTTGTTCCTAAAAAAGCCCACAAGTCCTTTTTGTGCCAAGAAATAAGATCACTTAGAGCAGGGATCAATTCTACCCATTTCTTTTGCCCCGCCATGGGCCACGTCTAGGGTTAAAGGCCCAGCATCCTAGACATTGATGAGTCGTGTGGATTCAAGCAAATTGGCCTCCACCAACTGCCCTTGGAAACCTGAATTGGGAACATGGCCGAGTGAATAATCTGGAACTGCTCTGTCCAATGTGGTAGCTTCAAGCCAACTAGGGATACTTACATTTAAATCCAAACTAATGTTTAAAAATCTCAGTCCCTCCATTGCACCAACCATATTTCAAGTACTGCATAGGCCACTGGTAGATGATGCAGGCAAAGAACAATTTCTATCACAGAAAGTTCTACTTGGCAGCCCTGTTCTAAAACCCTTGCATAACTCAGGTTTCTCTCAAGCTGCAATGTTTCCATAAGCTGTCAGTGGATTGCCTGGATAGCCTTCTCTTTTTAAAAAAATCTATTTTTTTATTTTTGTAGAGACGAGACAAGGTTGTGCTATGTTGTCTAGGCTGTTCTCGAACTCCTGGGCTCAAGCAATTTTCTTGCCTCGGCCTCCCAAAGTGCTAGGATTATAGGTGTGAGCCACTGCACCCAGCCTTTTCTAAAATTCTGTTGATTCAGCAAGCAAGCTCTCTGAGAACCATGGCCTACCTCAGTACATGTGTTAAGTTGGTCTCTTTACTACCTTTCTGTTCAGCCCAATCCTCCATTCTTCAAGGCCCAACTCAACTGCCCTTTTCTCTCCTTTCCTTAGCTCTCAGTCCTCCTCTTCTGTGAATGTGTGGACTTGCATCTATAATGCACACCCAAGTTGGTGATGTGTTGTGTTATGTCACCCTCTTCAGGGCTGGCTCCATAGGGTATGCAAACTGTAGACTGTGCACAGGCACTCAGTGGAAGTGGAAGGTGGGCCTGAGAGTTCACCCACCCTCTACTCTACAAACTGTGTGCCTTGGTGTGGGTATGTGCCCCTGAAGAAAGGGTCCTTTTTCTGATTTGCATGAAGGTGTCATATAGGCTGGTGGTAGCCTTGGTTCTTTAACCGTTTGAGGGTACAGAGCCACATAAGAAGGCAACTCAGTGACAGAAGTCTCTCCAACCATACCCCACTCAAGACCAGATTCCATAGACACAAGGAAGCCGCAAGGGGCGCTCCCGGAACTCACGGTTCTGGTGACTTTTGGTCATGTTCTCCGAGTCCAGCGCGTGGTAGAACTCGTAGGCCGAGCGGCCAAGCAGCTCCTCGGGGTGGTAACCAATCAGTTCTGTGATTCTAAATTAAAAAAAAAAAAAGCATGTAGGGAAGAAAGACCATATAAATTTGACACAGCACCTCAAGGGGCTGAACCCAGAAGATAAATCAGACGTGCGCATTCAGATGAACACATTCCAGACTTTCTGGTTGCTCCATGGATCCAAGCAGAACAACACCGTGCTCAACCAAAGCCTTGTTGTTCCTGCCCTTCCTGAAGTCATGTCTGGGAGGAGGGAAAAGCACCAATTCTGAGGACTCCCTCTCCCCTCACCCCCACTGCACACATATGCCTGTTCTCCAAGAACAGCTGGAAGGAGCTCACCCCACCCCCCCCGTTTTTGCAGACAAGGAAGCAGAGATCCAGGGAGAGCAGACAATGTGCTTGATGCCCACACAGGTGCCCAGGGACAGAGCAAGAATGAAAACTGGGCCTCTAGTTGTGAGATCAAGCTCATTCCAGCAGAAGGCAAAACGGTTGACAAGCGAAAATCATGTGGCCTCAGGCAGGGGAGCAGCACGGAGCAGCCTTGGTCTCTGCGGAACCACAGCGTGAGGGCCTCCCGGGCAGGGAGAGCCTGTCTGTGCTTCAACTTCCCCTGCCCTGGATGCTTCTCCCCAGGTCTTGCCGGTGACCCCTGGTGCCCTGGGCCACAGGATTGCCTTCTCTGGCTTCTTCTACCTGTCCCTCCCTATTTCAAAAAAAGGAAGGTAGGGTGCAGGTGCTGGGAGGAACAAGTATTACATCACAGTTGTAGATATGTGTCCCCTCATTATGCTCTCTGATAAACAGGCAGTTCTGAGTGGACAGGGCCTGGCTGTCTCCAGTGTCCCTTTCTTTATTCTGGAAGGTCTCTAGTTTTGATGGGAAGTGGCAAAGAAAGAAAAAATGTGGAGAACCATGAAGAATCACTTAACACTCTCAGGACCCTTTGCTCTGTGCTGGCATCATTCACATAAAGCCCTGCCCAAGAACCACCAGACCGACCACTTTACCTAACATAATTTTCTGTTATATTAAGTAATATAATACTTCAACATGAGTTTTCAAAATCTGGTTATCTCACATTTAAAAAAAATAATAATGAGTTCATAGTTTTGCTTACCAGACCTACCACAAGTTAGAAAGGATGCTACAGTCTCACAATTACAACTCTGTTTCGGAAGGCATGACTCCTGGGTGTGGTCTTATCACATATCCATGCTGCGGACTGATAACACAGAAAGGAAAGCACATAGTGGCTCTGTGGTTTCCTGTATCTACTCTCAATCCTCCCTCCAAACATACACACACACACACACACACACACACACCCTTCAGTGAAACCCCTCACATCCATCCTTTCTTCATTCTGTAAGGCAACTGGTTTTGCATGGACAGAAAAGAGGCAGGTTCTCTGCCCGGGTGAGACCTTTGTCAAACATGGAGCAGTTCAACAGGCCTGAGAGACTTAGGTCTCAGGTGATTTAGCCCAGTGCAGATTTCTCCGGTGAGATCCCAGCAGCTCACTGTGCCAGCCAGCTGGTCTCAGCGCAGAAGGACCTGTCCCCTCACTTGGTCCTGAGCAGAGAGGTCTCTGAACTCATTAGCAGTGGGGCCATTCTCTGACAGCCTGACCCTGAGGCTGGCACCCAGGTGCACCTTAGCTAAAGTGGAAATTGGGAGGAACAAGAGACAGAACCATACTGGTTCTACCACCAGAGAGCTTTGTTGTTGGGCTGGATGCCTTTCAAGCTTAGCCTGGGAACCAGAACTGTACAGCCAACCACGGGGTAGCCATTTACAGGCTCATGCACTTGCCAGATGAACTGCTTCTGTTCCTAGGCAGGTCTAGAATTTTCTAAAGACCCTCCAAGATGAGTCTATGGTCTATGGGCATTCTGAAAAGATGTGCTTCTGCTCCCTGTAGGAATTAAATTTCCTTTCAAGATTAGAATCTTTAAATTAAAATGTTCAAAGTGAATGTTTATTATAATCAGCCTCATAATAAAATTTTTTTTAAAAAAGCTAATTAATGTATCATCCATTCAAAGGCACACAATGGGCATGTTTTGGAAGGAGACAAACAAACCTAGATTTTAGAACTGCCAGATATCTTCCCAGTAGCAGCTTTCATTTATCTTGTCAACTAAAATAAATATTTGATGTCTCTTTCTTCGTTCCTTTAAACAGACAACTATAAAAACTGGGAAATACACAGACCCCAAACACAATTGAAGAACATTTGAGTTGTCAAACTTTACAAAGCCAGGAAACCCCAACTTAAAGTTGATGGTCATTTGCCCCGATGCAGACACGTAGACGCCAGCAGGGAGGTTAATGAACCAAGCTTGTTTATAAGGTCGGTCCCACAGCACAGAAGGGCCTTCCCTGCTCGCTTCCTTGGGGTCTTCAGACAGGCCTCCTGGGCTGGGCTGTGATAACATAGCCTCATCTCGGCTCTGTCAGGAGCAGGGAAGCAATTTCTTGCTTTCTTGCTTTCTAATTAAGGTCCCCTGACTCACTGGAGAAAAAAAAAAAATCAGTTTGGGGTCACCATAAATGTAAAAGTCAACTCAGTAGCGCTGTTCTAAGAGGAGAGAGATACATAAAAAGACTTAATTTACAAGATTCCAAAAATGTATAGAACCGAGGATACTTTTTAATAATAAAGTGGAAAAAGCAGACCAAGGATGAAGTGAGGAGAGATGCAGACAGGCAGCACAAGGAGGCAGAGGAAGAAGGACAAGAACATAGAAAATATAGAGGAAAATGGTTGTTACATTCTGAAGTTAGCATTGCTCCAAATAAAATTTTGGGCTTTGGACTTCAGAGTGAGACATACTTTCGAAATGCGAGATGAATTCTTCGTTGCTTTTCAACGGCTCTTCACCCTTAAAAAGTGTTCAGAAGCTCTGTTCAAAATAGACGGCCTACAGCCAAGTAGTAGGAAGATTAGTCCCTTGGCTGCAGAGTCAGCGCTGCCACCTCAAGAGGCAGAAGAAATTCAGCCACAGGCTCAAGAAGCCTGGCTCATCTTCCCAGCGTGTACCGGCCAGTGCCCAGCCACGTGGGTGCGGCAGCCACGCTCCCTGACTTCAGATGCCACTGCCTGGAGTCACACAAGGTCTGGCTGCAGTCTTCACCCCTGCTCCCTACATGAGTGGAGGATTTGCTAGGTAAATGAATCATGTACACAAGATGAGGAGAGAGTATTTAAGCTATTTAAGAGGATACAAGTTGTAAGTACTTCATAGACGCCTATTTGTTTTCCAAAGAATGTATTTGCTAATAAAGACTTGTATTGAAGGCTACTTTCTTTCCTCCCACCCTCTGGCAATGGCCACTGCTGGCACCCTGTGACTCACCTCGTCTTGGTTTCTATATGTGCTTAAAGCTTTGACATGGCATTTCCTTAAAAATATCTAGACTAGGCCAGGCGCAGTGGCTCAAGCCTGTAATCCCAACACTTTGGGAGGCCAAGGTGAGGGGACTGCCTGAGCCCACAGGTTCAAGAACAGCCTGGGCAACTTGGTGAGACCTCATCTTTACAATAAAAAAAAATTTTGTTGGGCATGGTAGTGCGCGCCTGTAGTTCCGGCTACTTGAAGGCTGAGGTGGAAGGATCACTGGAGCCCAGCAGGTGGACACTGGGGTGGCCATGAGTGTGCCACTGCACTCCAGCCTGGGTGGTGGAGTGAGACTATGACTCACCAAAAAAAAAAAAAAAAAAAAAAATCTAGACTATTCACTAACTCAGACTTCAGTGCCTCCTGTTAGTTTTAATACAGTATTTCATCCAGATTTTGTTTGCTTTAAACAATAGTACTTACGCCTTGTGTTTTCTTCCAGTATCACACCATTATATGAATCCATACAACCAATTTCTATCCTGTCTGTGGAGTGGCAAAGGGTCCCCGTAGGGAATTTATATATGGGAAGCTACTGTGTGTGTATTGTACAACTCATGGCCCTTGTCATTTTCCTTATTCTCTTCATGTTTCTTAACTTTTCCCTTGCTTTTACCGTCCTTACTTATTCCCAGTTTCTTTGTACAAAAACAGTTCATCCTAAGTTTATTCACAGAATTTGGAATGTAGATATCTTTTTTTGTTGCTGTTATCTTACTCTGTCGCCCAGGCTGGAGTGCAGTGGCACACTCACGGCCACCCCAGTGTCAACCTGCTGGGCTCAGGCAATCCTTCCACCTCAGCCTTCTGAGTAGCTGGAACTACAGGTGCGCACTACCACGCCTGGCTAATTTTTTATTTACTGTAGAGACAAGGTCTCGCCAAGTTGCCCAGGCTGGTCTCGAACCTGTGGGCTCAGGCAATCCACTCAACTCGGCCTCCCAAAGTGCTGGCTGAGTCTGGCCAGAATGTAGATATCTTAATTTATTAAACTGTACCTCCTGGTATTATGATGTCCTATGTTGCCTGCAATTCTTTATCTGTAAAGATAAGATGACTGACTCTCTTTGTGGGTTTGGATTTTTACTGTACATTTGAAACCTTTTCCCTCCAGTGATACTGCTCCTATTCATATAACTGGCTCTGATGATTTATTTCTAAGCTATAGGAAGACTCATAAAGTAGACAAAATCATAGGGGATTACATGTGAATTAGAAAGACTTGGTCCCAGTCTCCCTGATAGCCTGGCTTTCTTCACAGTTATTCTCTTTCGCCTCTAGATGGCACCTCCATATGAATTTAAGAACCATTCCGTTTTAAAGTTAAACTACTTGGGAACAACTTTTGTCTTCCTTTTGAGTGAATAAAATGTTCTACTTTGTACCATTCACAGTGGTTTCATTAATTCGCTTATGTCTCGAATTCTAAACTCTGGTAGGTCAGGAATCACCTATTTTAATTCTATAATATAATGGTCTCTGGCACAGGGTTAGATACATAAGCTCAATAAATTACAGTTCATTAATTGGCTGCTCAGGCTTTTGGGAAAGAGGATAATGCCTATGTCTGAGTCATATATGGAGAAAAGATCATTAATTACACTGATAATCGGGACATTCTTCTTGAATCTTGCCAATTTGCTCCTCTCGTCTAGAGAAGTCAACCATATATATATATATCAACATCACTGACATACAAATTGCTATGGAATTTGCTTTTTAAAACATTTCCTATGTTTCAAGTCGTTAATGCAGGACTTAATATGGTCCTCTGATCCTTTATTAAGGGGAGGGCACATGCATTTTTAACCATCTGCTCTCCTTTATTCTATTTCAGATGCTTCAGAATAGGTTGGTTTCAGATTCAATTGATTTTGTAAATCTGAAAGTTTAATGCAAGATTCGAGTATCCTTTTTCTCTTCTTTGTTTTATTTCACTCCTTCCTTTCCTCTCTGTTCTCCCTTTTTTTCCCCATGCCCCTTTTCTTTTTTTGTTTGTGTCTTCTGTCATCTCAATACATCTAAGAGTACCAAACGCTTCAAAAGTGATTTTGTGGATTCTAATTGCCTTACATTTTCTTCAGATTCTTTCTAATTTTCCTTATGGGAAAAAAGCTCCTTTGTGAGAAATCATAGCCCCTTATATGTGTTAGATGTCATTATACCTATAGAATTTCCTGATTAAAATGGAGACCCCCTCCTCCCATAAGGTATCATATGTAGCTGTTAGTTTTTGAAGCATTTATCTCTGAAGGATATTGGGGGTGGGAGGGAGAGAGAGGGGGAGGAGGGATGGAGAGGGAGAGAGGAAGGTGGGGAGGACGAATGCATGTGTGTATTATATATATGTGCACATGCACATTTCTTCCCATCTCAACACAAAAAGTGAAAACAGGCTACCAAAACCAAAAATACTCCAGTCCTTCCTCCCTCATCAAAGCAATTCAGAAATAACACTTAGGGATTAAGGACTTAAAATAGTCACTTCATCAACTGTCTAAGCCATGTCTGTGCCCTTGTTAACTAATCTGCTAATCGGTTAAATGCAACTTCTATGTGGAACAGCATTCTATGTCTTTAAATGCCTCTACATTCAGCTCTCTAGCTCCACTGGATTCAGACTTGGGGCCACGTAATTAGGTTTCTCGAAGGCAAGATTCTGCTGAAAGTGCAATGTGTCCTGCAGAACTTATAAGCAGTATCACTCTCCACATTGTGAGTCGCAAAGCCCTAAATCACAGGTTCCTTTAAGCCAGTATCTACTCTGCCTGCCAGTCCTGAACCAAACGAATAAGTCTGCACAGTGTCTCTCACATTTCTGCATGCATCTCCTCTCCTCTGTAACCCCATTTAAGCACCCAATTCCTTGTGTTCCCTGCCCCCTCCTTTCTTTCATCCAAAGTTTAGTGCTTTCCAAAATCACCTGAAACTCACTCAAAACCAAGGTAATGCTGAATTACCCTTTCTGGGGGATTTCTTTTCCTTTAACAAGGTCTTAAGCTTAAAAAAAAAAAATCCCTCTTTCTGTTATCTAGGGATGGCAAGTTATTTCCTAGAACTGCAGATTTTTCCAGTGCTCACAGAGTGTGTCACAGTAGGGATGAGCTTCACCTGTCAGCACCTGCATCTGACTTCCATCCTCCACCGACTGGAGATACAGTCCTGGCATGGCCAGGACATCCTGAGCCACACCACCTCAATGCAGGGTCAGGTGGGCTCTGCATTGGGATTTTCCATGTTATCTAAGAAGATGCTGAGAGGGGTGCATGGAACAAAACCATGTTTTCTGCCCAGAACGTTCATTTGAACACAAAGACTGCATCTGGTAAATGACCTTAGCTATACCATGGATCCCCTGGTGCCTGCCTTTGGAGGAGTCTTTCTATCAACAACAATAACAACAACACTAACAATTATAATAAATGCCATCTGTGTTGAAGTTCCAGCACAAAAGACTTCATACATGGCGTTTCCCCCCTTTGAGGTTAGAGTACCTCTTTCTACTTACATCACTCCCTCTAAACGCCTTGAGTCCTGACCCTACTGTGGTCAGAACTGGAGGACAGGAATGACTCAAGGATACCTTTACAAAAGTTCTGAAATTGTACCACGAGTCATGGCCAATCCTAAGACAGGGCCAACACCCAACACCAGATCAGTCTCGAATCACAGGAGGAAGCAGCCTTGCCTGGAGTGTAAGGTCCCACCCACAGAGATACCAGATAACCGTGGGATGCCCAGTTGATGAGAGAAAGGTAGGTGGGTGTGGGGAGGCTGAGCAGGGTTTGGGGGTTTCCTGCTGGCTGCTGAAGACAAAGCAGATCATTGCTGGTGGTCTCTCCTTCCTCTTCCAGGCCCCCGGAAGGAGCTCTCAGCTCCTTGGGTTTAGCAGGAGATTTTGCTCTGGGGGATGCCAATGATAGGACTTAAATATCAGCCGGAACACGAAGCCTCACATGGGTCGTGCTGTTTGTACTTTTCAAAGTGCTTTCATGGCCTTTATCTTATTTTATGACGACAGTGACCCCGTGAAACAGGCTGAGAGATATTATCAGCACTTTAGAGAAGGGGAAACTGAGATCGTGGAGTTTCCTGAGGAGACACCCTAAGAGATGAGAGGGGAATGGTAAAGAGTTTGGGGTGGAGAAGAATTGCCACAGGAACGGTGATGCTGGGAACAAAAGGTGACTCTCTGTAGATACTGCAGAAAGCTGTAGTCAGGCTGGGAGATCCCAGTCCTGAAGGGCACATCCAGGGTGCGCTGGTCAGCAAGCCACACTGGCATTTATTTAAGCCAGGTCCGCCCCTGGCCCAGTCCCTTCTGGCTTCTCCTTCGCCCCCATCGGGGACCAGCCATTGTTCTCCCCTACCTTCTCCTCCTTCCTCCTGTTTATCAAGCCCCACGTTCCTGTGGCAGGGTTAATAGTGAGGTTAGAAGCTGTGGTGTAGTTTAACCTCTCCCTCCCACAACACCCCAGCCTCTCCCCTACCTGTTTGAACCCTACAACTAAGAACTAAAGATGAAACGGCTTGCATGTGCAATCTTAGGGATCTTTCAACAACTTTAATACAGTTGAGAATAAGAGCTAACACAAAACACGTATGATTGGATTTGTACCTAGGCTGTCTAGCCCCAGAGTCCATGCTCTTGACCACCATCTATGTCCCCTAAGAGAATTTCCAGCTGGGCCTGGTACTGGGGGCTAGGATCTGGCTTAGCCCCCTTCACCTAAAAGCCTACAAACCAGGCCACAGTATCTAGCTTCAAAATAACGGACAGGGGCCGGGCGCGGTGGCTCAAGCCTGTAACCCCAACACTTTGGGAGGTCGAGGTGAGGGGACTGCCTGAGTCCACGGGTTTGAGAACAGCCCGGGCAACTTGGCGCCATCTCATCTCTATAATAAATCATAAAAGTAGCCAGGTGTGTTAGCGTGCATCTGTAGTTCCGGCTATTTGGAAGGCTGATGCGGAAGGATCACCTGACCCCAGTAGGTCGACGCTGGGGTGGCCGTGAGCGTGCCACTGCATTCCAGCCTGGGCAACGGAGTGAGACTCCAACTCAAAAAAATAAAACAAAACAAAATAAAATAACAACCGGAATGGAGTTGCACATAGACCAAGGCAGAGGGAAGAGCCTAGTCAGCAGAGGGAGAGTGGGAGTTTCCAGGTCAGAAGCAGATGATCCCTGCCAGTCTCCAAATAGGGAGGCAGACAGAAAACTCTAGACTCTTCTCTCTCCAGGGCAGGATGCTGCCCTGTAAATTTTCTCAGGAGCCCCATACAAGTGTTCACAGCACAACGATGACAAGAGTTGCCCACTGGAGCAGCTCTGCAGAGACCCTGCTGCTGTGTCAATGGACCACCAAAGATGGCACTGGGGACCTCTGAGGTGTACTGATGGAAGGAAACAGTGACACAGGCCCACGTTTGTGCACCCGGCAACACAATATGTACGTCCTAGTCCCACACATGGGCGCCCTAGGCCACCCCTGCCGGCAGTACACACGCTCTGGGACCCCACCTGTCATCGCAGTAAGTGAACTTCATGTCCATGCTGTGGCGGCTCAGGAAGGTCTTGCTGTCCAGGGGGATGTCCATGTGGGATGGGTGCTGGATGGGTTCACACATGATGATGAGACAGGACAGCAGGGGCTCCTTGTAGCCACAGAGACTACTGTGAGGGGGGCAGTTGTTGTAGACTTTCACCTGGCCGGTGCAGTGCAAGACCTGGAGACAGGCCACGAGGGGTCAGACGTGGGGCCAGGAGTGCTGGGGGTGGGAGCAGGGCTTTAGGCAACCCCCTCCCCACCCAGCCCCCACGCCTGGGACTCCAACCTAAGCCTGATGGTGCCCTACCTTCCAGGTGGCTGATTTGAGGTTGACAGTTCGGCCTCTGTTGGTGACCGTGCACTTCATCCTCATGAAGAAGTCCCGCTCTGTGGACATGTCTTTGTTTTTCTTCCCAAAACCAGAGCCTAGATGGGAAAGGGTGGGGGGAGCGGGTTGAACCCCAGTTTTACATTTATGTTCACAAGAGGGGCCCAGTTGCTGTTGTCCTGGGCAGCGTGCCATTTGTGTTTCCCAAGTATCTACTCTCTTGGCCTCAGTAAACTGCCATAACCACTGGGCTCCACCTTGGCCTGTGGACCAATGGCATCTCCTCCCAGCTTGTCTCTTCAACTGCAGCATCAACTCCCCCAAGGTGGAAGTTGTTCCATCCTTTGATATTCCACTGCACCTGGCCCCTGGCCAATGGTTCCTTCAGAGCAGTTAGGCAGTGAGGGAGTGCTAGTCACAATCTCAGCAGCCCTCTCTGGGGACAGGCCCAAATTCCCAGGCAGAAATTCTAACAGACAATCTGGGGGGTGGGGGTGGAAGCCACAGCCCCTCTAAGGGTATGAGCCCCACAGGTTAGAAATGTCCCTTGGACATGTGTGTCTTTTCTTTATAATCTGTCTCTCAGGAATCCGAGCCCTCCTGTGCCCTACTTGCAAACATTAGCTGCGTTCAGGACAACACGCCTTTAGCTTTTTCCTTGAAGTGACATACATATCGAGGCTCTAAGAGTCCACTTTAAGGTTAACTCATATCCTCTCTCAGACAGAATTAACAAATCCCCCAAACCACCAACCTCTCCACCTAAACTTTCAGAGGACCTTCATTTATTTGACTGGCATATTCCTGAAGAGCTATGTGTCACAGGAGTTGTGGCATCTTTGAACTAAACTTAAATATCCTTAGGGGAGCCTACTAAGTAATAGACTGAATGGTGAATCCCTTTTTTTTTAAAAGAGAAACTATTCCTCCATGATTATTATAAAACCTTCTCTCCTGCATTAATTATGATTCGTATAACTTTAATTTTCAGGTAGGCTTTGTATATAATGACATACACCTGTCTTGGGATCTGGTCCTACCACCAGGGCCAGCCCAAGTGTCTGGGAATGAGGGGGCTGGAGAAATTCATTTGTAGCTGTGGCTTGGGTTATTATTGAGGCCTCCTAACTTGTTAGCCTCTGGATTCTCCCTGTTATGACATCTGATCATTCTTTATAAACATAGATGCAAGCAGATCACCCCACACCTACAAAAAAACCTTCAATAGCTCCCCATGGTCTACAGGATAAAGTTCGAGGCCCTCCTGGCCTTCAAAGCCTTCCACAATCTGCCTCACAGCCTTATCTTCCTCTAGGAACTCACATTAACCCTTTACTTCTAGATCATGAGTTCACCCACAGGTCGGCACCTTCAATGAAGTTTTTGCTGATTCACTGAGTTTGACTGATCCCAAGTCCCTGATACATAGACCAAGAGATTTAATGTTCTACTCAGATGAATAGAGGTCGCTTGGCTGTGAAACTTGGCACTGGAGAGCTGGAAGGGCCTAGACTTTGCCTAGTCTAATATTATCAGCTTGAAAAGAAAGGCTTTGAGCAAAGGCTGTGATTCAGCTTACCGAATCAAACAGAGACAACGGTCAGTGGCTGTACTGAGACTAAGAACCCAAGGGCCAAAGTGTTTCTGGAGTAGAGAAATAATCAGACTTTGGTTTTCCCAGGCTTCCAGCACCCGCTTTAGAAAGTGATTTGGAAAGTCTGGTAGCCCCTTCCCCATAGAAGCAAATGTTCTATGCAGCCCAGACTTCTCAGCAGCACAGACAAGACACTGAGCAGCCCAGGCATGGGTCCTCTCCTGCTGGGTGGCCCGAGGTCTTCAGGTGGAAGAGCAGTGGGGCCGGGTGAGAGGGTGGTGGCAGGGGTGGAAGGGGAGGCAGTTATAATCCTATACTTTGTAGGCTCAAACGTGAACTGCAGGTTCAGTGTGTAACAGGGTAGAGGTGAGCCAACGAGGTATCTGCTTTAGAGTATGTGCGGTAACAAGAGCCAGACCTCATAGGCTTAGTCCCGCTGCCTCTGTTATTTGCCTGGACAAAGAGGAGCTCCATGGCAGTGACAGGGAAGGGGTGTTAAAGAGGACATTTAGACGTGAGCAGCATCTGCCCAGACCAGTGACAGAACCTCAGGTTCAGAAGGGACCACTGAGCCTCACTGCTGCCCAAAGCTTCCATTCTCTTGACAATATCCTCATTCTTGCCCTCACTAGAATGGCTCCAGTTACAGGAGTCACTAGAACGGCTCCAGTTACAAGGCAAAGTGTCTTCTGCTGTGTGGATTCTCTCCTCCACTGGCACCTGCTGGAGCCCCCTCCGGTAAGGTTCCGTATACTACATCTTTTACAATCTCCTCCATCAAAGCTTACTTGCCCTGCATCTCATCTCCAGGAGACCAGGCTCATTCCACAGCTCCTGTGGTGGCAGTCTCTAAAGGTGGCCCAGTGTGCCATGCCCCAACACAGCCTTGTGTACTTCCCTCCCATATGGCATCAAGGTTGGCCTGTGACTTGTTCTAACCCTCAAAGTGGGGCAGAAGTGATATTGTGCCAATTCTAGGACTAAGCCTTGGGGAGGCCTGGCAACTTCCACTGTAGTGCTTCTGGGAGCCCTGAGCTGCCAGGTATAAAGTCTGGCCACCCTGGAGACACCATGTGGGGAGAGAGAGGCTTTGAGATTCCCGGGAGTAAGAGAGGTCCGGTCATCCCAGCATCCCAGCTGAGCCCAGGGTTCCTGCCACAAGGTCCTGGGCATCTGGGTGAATCATTCTGATCACCCAGCCTAGTCCAGTCCCCAGGTGACTGCAGCCCAGTGGATATCACATGGAGCACAAGACCTGCCCACACATACCACAGAATCTGGAGAAATAATCAAATGCTTGTTCAACTCACTTTGGGTGGGTTGTTACATGGCAAAAGATAACTGCAGTCGTTTCTATGAGTACAGGTGAGTTTATTGGTTTGGGTGGTGTCGTTTGGTAGAAATGCTTAACTCTCAAGTGACTCAACCTCCTAGATACAGTGTGCTACCTCAAAGCAGCCCCCTAGGAGTGTGATATCAGGAACCATAAGATATTTCTGAGTACTGGATCCTTTCAGTGGCCCTAGTCTCATCTCACAGGCTGCCTGCGGACACAGAGGGCCAGCCTAGCTGAATTGTTTATGGATGTCAGTTTTTCCTGCATTGTAATGTCCATGAGCTGCCTTTCCTATACTTGTAAACAAAAGGAAGGCAGATCACTTCCCAGGAGGGGGAAGAAGAAAGTGAACATGCAATTAAGAATACCATTTTTGGGCGACCCCCTTGGGTCCCTTCCCAATGTGGGAGCTTTTCTGTTCCCTCAATAATAAATTCTGCTTTTCTAAAAAAAAAAGCATACCATTTTTGAGAGTCAGGTTTTCACGGATTTCCTCATGGTCGCAGGGGTGAGTGAAGTCAAAGATACTGTGTCCCGTCAGCTCCACCTGTTTCAAAAACAAAGTAAAGGTTCATTATTCTAACACTGAAGTTAGCAGAGCCCTCTTCCCGATTTGGAGACAGGGAGGAGATGGAATCCCAGGCCACACAGGCCCATAGATGTGCCACGTAATAGAAGACTATGGATGATGACTGAGACTTCATTCACGAGGGTGGGCCTGCTGCTCTAGTTAGCAAAGAGTTGTCCACCAGGATGGCCATCACCAATGTCAAACCCAATGCTGGGAAGAGTGTGTGTTACTAAGTCTTATGGCCTGAGTTAGTGAGGATCAGAGTGGGTGTAACAGAGAGAGGTCACATGGGGTTGTGACCAGCATCTTCCACTAATTTCTACCCCCATTGGAAACATTTTCCTTTTCTGAAAGTGAAAGAGGAGGGCAGCACCTGTGTGAGTCCCATGAACTTGCTGATGTTTTCTGACAGAAAGATCATGTCGCCATCTTGGGTCACCACAGCAATGAAACCCTCCAAAGCTTTCAGGTACAAATTATCCATCTGCTGGTCCGCTTCGGCTTCAGACTCATTTTCAGAGCAAACTGGAAAGAGATTGGACGGCTTGCATGAATGTGGCATGAAAACAGAGGTGACTGACACACACAGGCATCTGCCAGGGATGGCTCGAAGGCATCAAGTGGACTTTTTCTGGAAACGCACGCTGCTAACCACCTAACTGTCTGCCACATGTCCCAGCAGCAGGCACTGGGTGGGCATCACCACACAGAAGATACTCTGACTGGGGCCATGAGGACAGCGTGCCGGTAGTGACAATGGTATCTGCAGTACTAGGAATAACCACAACAGGAGTCATAGATATCACCATAGTCTGAGTAAGAGTAGGAACAAAAATTTTAGCTGCTAATGTATATTGAGCCATTATTACATGAAAGGTATTATACTAAACATGCTCTGTAATCTTGACAATGACCTACGAGGTACTTACTACTCTTAATCTCATTTTATAGATAGGCTGAGAGGTTAAACGATTTGTCCAAGGGTAGAAAAGTTGGAAAGTAAGCCCAGGAAGTTGATTCTAGAAGCCACACTCAGCCATTTGTAGGTTTTGGAGTTAAACACAGACTCTATTCCTAGACCAACTTCCTACTATGATGCTGGGTAACAACCTCTTTGAACATCAGTTTCCTCATCAGCTAAATGGGGATAATAATTTCCACCTTTTGGAATGGCAAAGATTAAAAAGTGAGTAAAACACCTAAAATGATATCAGCAACTGTGAATTCCTTCCCCCTCTGCTCTCCCTCCGACATTGTCACGACTCTCAGTTTGCTCAAACCCCAGATGAGGCATGTGTAGCACACGGAGACAGAGATGCAAAGCTAGCCAAAAGTTCAAGGGTGTCATAGCAGGGCACCCAAGGAGGGGTGTAGACAATAAGTGCTCTAGGGTCTGAGGAGAAGGGGGTCACTTTGGGGTGATCAGAGTCCATTGTTCCAAAGAAGAAGATTTGAGGAGATTCATGAAAAACAGAGGTTTCACTTAGTAGGATGAAAATGAGAGGCCTTCCGGACTGGACAGGGTTGGACGAACACTGGAGAACACCTGGAATGAGCTCCCTCCCAGGACTGGGGAGAGGCTCAGCTGGCTGAAGAGGAGGATCCAATTCTCATTCTCGGAGACTGGGCCTGTGAGGCAGGCCCAGCATCCTGGAGGGGCCTCGCATTTCAGGCAAATGTGGGCAGAAGCATGCATGTGACTCACTACATTGCTTTGGGGAGAATCTAACAAGGGCAGGCAGAATCATTTGGAGCAAATGAAGCCCAGAGGGAAAAAGCAGAGCGAGGAGGCTGTTGGACACTGGCAGACTGGAGAGGTATTGTTAGGGACCTCCTCCCTAAACCATCCACTTCGCGTACCCTGGCCTGCCGGGTACATCTCTGCTACCTGCAAAATGTAGACTCAGCTTTTGCCCCAGACCAAAAACTTTTCAGGCCCTGGGCCCTTGGTTGGTATCCTCAGACTACAGACTCCATTTCAGTCCCCTTTTCCTGTTCATAATTGAACTCCAAAGGTACATTTACTTATTCACTCAGTACAAACATCAATCCAAGCATGCCTCACTTGATTTATAGAACAAGGGTATTAGAGAGTAATATGTCACTTATAGAAATTAATATTCAGCTGGGTGCAGTGGCTCATACCTGTAATCCCAACACTTTGAGAGGCCAAGGTGGGAGGAATGCTTGAGCCCAGGAGTTTGAGACCAGGCTGGGCAACATAGCAAGACCCCATCTCTACAAGTAAATAAAAAAAATTAGCTGGGTGTGGCAGTGTGCACCCATAGTCCCACAGGCTCGAGAGGCTGAGACAGAAGGATGACTTGAGCCCGTGAAGTCAAGGCCACTGTGAACCATGAGGCAAATGCACTCCAGCCTGGGTACTGAGACCCCAACTCAAATTTTTAAAAAAATTAGTACTCAAGTAAAAGGAGTCTTTCAAATGTACAATGCATGTGTCATAGCAGGGCACCCAATGTACAATGCAGGGTGTCATAGCAGGGCACCCAAGGAGGGGTGTAGACAGTAAGTGCTCTAGGGTCTGTAGCCGTTCTATTATGAGTCACTTGGTAAGGGATACATCAGTGCTGTGAGATGCAGTTCAGGGACCTCTCTGCAAGGGCACTGAGATTCTCTTCTCTTTTCTCCTGAAACCCTAATTTTTTAATTTTTATTTTAAAGATGTGGGATACAATTCATGGTTAGGTATACAAATGGTCATTGTACAGGTAAAGTTTGGGCCTCACTTTGGTCCCCACATCACCTTTGAGATCAGGTATCCCTTATTGATGAAATGTGTCCACCCCTCCCTCCCCTGGCAGTTTCCCATTACTGCCTGAAACCCCTAATTTTTAAGCTTTGGGCTACCTGCCACACTTCTTCAAGAAGAGCAAATCCACATCAGGAGATATTCCTACCGAGGGGCTTCAGTGGCATCACTGGGTACCAGCCATCTTTCAGGACGCAGAATCAGACAATATGCTGGAGTCATAGATACTATTTCTAAAGAAGAACAGAGCGGGGCCTGTCTAGGGGCAGCCGACCTTCAGAGTAGAGAGGTGGGTTATACAGAGTAGTATCCTGGTGGCTTTCCCTGTTTTGCTAAAATGGTGGAAGAAAAATGAGGAAAATTCTTTCCTCCTCACACTCTGATTCAGGTGGCTAGCCTACAGAGGGAAGGACCACAGGCCACGGGAATGGCCTTATCCCACACACACATGCCCACACCTGATTCCTACATGGGATCTCTGGTGATGTTATCTATTTTCTGCCAGCTAACCCACTGAGCTGGTGATGGTCCAATGCCCCGGGTGTGGGGGATGCAGCTTCTAACGTCAGCTTTCTCAGTTAACATCTTTCAGTGCTTTTAAATTTGAGTGTGCAACAGAATCATCCTAGAGAGTTGGCTATAACAAAATTTCCAGAGCTGGGTCTGCTATATAATTTGCATGGCCCAGTACAAAGTAAAGAAGCAGGACCTCTTGTTGAAAAAATTAAACCAAGCCTAGGACGCTTGTAAGTGTGGAGACCTCCAAGATTGCACATCCAAGAAACTGGCCTGGGATACTCCCCACTGGGCTCCTGGGTCAGTAGTTCTCAAGTGGGGACTGAGAATGTTTTTCTAACAAGTACCCAGGTGATGTTGATGCCCGTAGGACCACATGCAGAGAGCCACCACCTAAACTCAAAGGTCTTGTGAGGTACACCCTAAAGCTGGGGACACTAGCCTATGCTGCCAGGGGGCAACTTATTTTGGAGATGAGTGAGGAGAGATTTTTCAACATCATTTCAATCACACCAGATAAGTGACGACCTTCTACAGACAAGCAGAGGCCAGCCTATCATTTCTGGACTACTAAGATATTTTCTCTTCTGTTTCTTTGATCTCAGTGGTAACGCTGACTTCAAAATATGGAGTAATCCCAAGACAACCCTATTTGGGTTAACTGGACCCAGAGGAAATAGTCCTGCTTAAAATTTCCTGTTTTTAACAGTTCCAACACAGCCAAATTGGTTTCCACCCATGCCCAGTGCACTTGCTTCCAGGAGGTGGCGAAATTGGCTATGGCGGCATCAGGCCAGCCTCTGGGAGGGAGAGAGAAAGGGGCACTTTAGGGCCATGAAGGAAACAGAACGTCTTGGAACTGAAATCACAATGCTTGGAGGACCAGGAAGCCAGCAGGCCGGCCTGTGGGGACCCTGGGACAGCATGGCCCGGGTGGGGTGGTGTCTCTTCCCTCTGTGGAACTATTTGACCTCACAGTACCTGCATATCCTCCTGGGAGATTCTGAAGGAACCTGGCCAGGTCACTCCCAGCTTGGAGTAGAATGAAAACTGTGGAGCTGGGAGGTAGACCCTTACCCAGGGAGCCAGGAGGCTCACGTCACAAATCTATAGAGGACCCTTATGCTTTTTTCCCTGTGAACATCGTGTTGTCTCTGATGTATCATGACTTGGTGTCAGACGTGGGAAAATGCACTCATTCCCTGCACAGTTATTAAGCTTCTACTGTGTACACATCCGCCTTACGCAAGGCACAAAGTAATTGTCCAAAAGTGTCACTATGTGCTCAGTCCTGTCCTAGAATCAGGGATATTGAGAGGTATAAGAGCAAACCCTCCCCTAAAGGAATCCGCAGACCCGTAGGGAGGACAAAGACCAACCATTCTAAGGTTACTCAACAACTGTATAGATGCAAGTGAGGAGGCCACAGTAGGTGCTCAATAAGCCACCAGCGGCGTCTTTAAATGATCTTGGGCTCCAGGTCTCAGTGACTTGCTTCCAAGGACCCTTTGAGATCTGACCCCAAAGAAGGGAGACTAGTCATTAAAACCAGAGGTGCTGTGCCCAGACGGTGCATGCTCGGCCTGGAGAACACAACAAGATTCTTTAATGCTAAAAATAGCCCCAGTAAACAGGCTTTGATGACTCCCCACAGCCAGGATATGCGCGGGCTGAGGCTCTGGAGCACTTTTTCCGGAGCACCACTCATTTCCTTCAGACAGCACCGCCCATGCGGGGCGGGACTGCCTGGGCAGCAGAAGCTATGTGCAGGGGGTGAGTGGACAGGGTGGCAAACGGGGCTCCGAGACCAGGCTGCCCCATGGTGCTGCCCACGATTTTATTTTACCAAGGTCACCTTCCCGTTTTGTATCCTTACCCTGAGGAGTTTCAGGACTGCCTCGATGGTTTAACAGTCATTCTGATATGGGCTTTCTGGTTCAGATGTGCCTGGCCAGCACCACTTGGTTATCCCGGCAGGTGCTGTGTCTAAACTAATTCCTCCCTTGCGCCTCTCCCAGGGCCTGGACTCCTGACACCCACCGTCCTGAGAGTGCTGACTGCAAGAGCAATGTGAGGCAAGTCACAAGAAAATTAAATTTTTAAAAATATAAAATTAAAAAAATTTTTTTTAAGTTTTAAAGAATTAAAAAAAAATTTTTTTAAATTAATAATCTGGTCGGGCGCAGTGGCTCAAGCCTGTAATCCCAGCACCTTGGGAGGCCGAGGTAAGGGGAGAGCCTGGGCAACTTGGCGAGACCTCATCTCTATAATACATCAAAAAATTATTTTGGTAGCATGCACCTATAGTTCTGGCTACCCAGAAGGCTGAGGTGGAAGGATCGCCTGATTGCTGGATCAACACTGGGGTGGTTGTAAGTATGCCACTGCACCCCAGCCTGGGCGACAGAGTAAGACTCCAAACCCCCCCCCCAAATTTAATAATTTAAAAGTTATAAAACTTTTTTAAGTTTTTTTTTTTTGTAGAGGCAGTGTCTCACTATGTTGTCCAGGCTGGTCTTAAACTCCTGGCCTCAAGAAATCCTCCTGCCTTGGCCTCCCAACATGCTGGGATTATAGGCATGAGCCACTGCACCTAGCCAAGAAAATTATTTTCAGATCACTGACTGTATCAGCAATCACTTCTTTAAAGCCTACCATCAGCAGGTTGGGCTCCTCTCATACCTTTGGCAGGAGGCTCTGGGTCCTACTTGACCTTGCTAGGTACCCAGAGAGCCCTGAGAGTCTGCCAGCAGAGATCCATTCCTTTGTTCTTTACCTGTCTTATTCTTTTATCTTGCTTTTCTGTATTATCCTTTATAAGATGTAGCCAGGGCTGGGTTCAGCAAATACCTGTTGGTGGACCAGACCTTTTAGGTGGACTTAGGGAAATGATCTGAACAAGGTCAGACTGTACAATTCGCTTCTCTTAGCCACAAACATCCTCACATGAATCAGCTCACTGGCTTCTTTCTAAACAGGACAGAAAAAAGACCTTGATTTGGAGAGTGGGTGGAGCAGTAAAATGTAGGGGTAAAAGCCTAGGAATGGAAGTCTGAAGATGAGGTATAAGGGGCCCCAGGACACATATCTGCCTCCACCGTTCTTCCGCTTTGTCCCACTTTACTGCATGGAAAGGTCATGATAAACTGTAAAGTCGCTTTGTTCCATGTGTTAACGTCTTTCCCTCAGGAGTCCAGGGATCAGGACATTATAATCTCTCGTTAAGACTGATGTCTTCACTAAGCACGCCAGTGTGATAAGCCTGAGATTTCTCTTTAGAAACCTTGCTTCAAGTCGCTCTCTAGTCTTGTGTAAAATGAATGTGATATTACCATGTTTGAGTTTGGGGAAGCCCAACATCAGTGTCACAGTGGAAAGCAGCTTTTGTGTACCTACTGCTGTTTCATACCCTCAGAACGCAGAGTTGACCCCCTTTCGGTTACAGCCTGTGGGGCTCGTCTTGAAAGAGGATTTAAGACAATCAAGTGGCATTTCCACCAATGTTCCTGTAAGAGTGTGTTCTGTCCTCAGCCCAGCGTGGAAGCTAATATCATAAAGCTATTGTTTCAGTTTGCTTCCTGTGATACGAATCTCAATCGGCAGCCCAGACCCACAGCCTGAATTTCTCAATGTTGAGGTTTCCTCTCCAGCATTCCCACACAGCACAGCCTACTGTGAAAATCAAAGGGAAATGTGTTACTAAGTAAAGAAGAAACTTTCCTAAAGCAAACCTGGTATTTTTTAGCCTTTTGAACTCTAGAGGTATGCAACCAGCTATTTCCTATTCTACAGTGAGCTAAAACTGGTACTCACCTTTGTTAGAAACACTTCAATAATGAATTTGTGGTTCGTTTTGACTTGGAAGAGCTTGACAACTCTGCATTTTGGAAGAAATTGCTAAAAGGTGGGTAAGAGGACAGTAAGGGTTTACATTGGGGTTTCCTTTATACCATTTCTCCAGAAGCCTATACTTACTATAAATCAATATACTTGTGTATGGCAATTTGTATTTCTAAACCGTAACTTACTGAGAGCTTAATATGTGGCAGGCTAGAGGTTAAGACTTTTTAAAAATATATATATTTTAAAGATGTGGAGTACAATTCAGGGTTAGGTATACAAATGGTCATTTTACAGGTAAAGTTTGGGCCTCACTTTGGTCCCCACTTCACCTGTTTTGAGATCAGGAACCCTTATTGATGGAGGGTAAGGCCTTTTAAAATCTGTTATCTCAGCCCTCAAACAACATGGTAGGGTAAGTACCATTATCCCTTTCATGCGGATGAAGAAATTGTTACAAGATTGCAGAGACAGAAGGCAGCCAAGCTGAGATTCCAGTGTGGGTCTCTCTGCCCACAAATCCTGTACACCTTCGCATCACACTTCGTGTGTTGGAAAAGCAAAATATGATTCAAAAAGAAGAAGATCCTGCCTCACCGTCTCTGAAAACAGTCCAACCATCGATCTGGAGAATGTGTGGCAGGAGCCTGGGAGAAAAGTTAGAGACAAGGAGACGCTGAAAAGCCACCTCCCCGTCCCCCGACTGTGCTTGTTTCATGAGAACTTCTCTTTCAAGGACACCAGGATCAGATGGCCAAAAGTAGAAACTTTTTATCCTTTTCTGTCATTTCTCTCCTTGGGACAGAGAGGACCAGGGCTGACATGCAGAGGGCTCTGGTCGGTTTGGGCCTGAGTCCAGTCAGAGGGCAGGTGATTTGTGTCCACAACTTTAAACAGCTCCTGAGCTAAGATGTGCGATGTCTAGCCGTGGCCACTCTGGTCCTACTTTCATGGGTGTGTCTAGCACACAAGGGTCCACAACAGCACACCGGCATTCATACCAGCAGACATGCAGGCAGATGTGCTCAGAGGGTCCAACCTCCAACGTGTGGCCCCTCCAGGCCAACATGTGAGCCCCTGAGCAGGATGGTCAGGCTCCTGTGTGGGCGAGCACGGAAAACAAGGCCCTGCTCCATGAGAAAGGATCGAAGCAATACTCTGGACTCATATATGAGGACCTCTTCCTCCGCTCTGCCACTCAGGGCTGGTCCGTCTGACTTTGGTTCCCCTGTCTCCACCCACCATCTCGGCACTTATCAACATCTTCACCTTGCCCAGGTTTGCAGAATGCTCCTGCCTCCCAAGTCTGTCTTTTCCATGGACCAAAATTCAAAATTTCGGAGTTTTGGATCAGAGATTCTCAACCAATAAGTACAATGCAAATATTCCAAAATCTGAAAGAATCTAAAACCTGAAACATTTCTGTTCCAAGCATTTTGAATAGGAGATACTCAACCTGTACTGGCCTTTCTAGGGCTCTCTGCTGGTGGAGAAATCAGGGTGGGGATGAAGAAAGCAATGGTTAACCCAAAGGAATTCATGCCTAAGGGTTGAATTTTGTAGCAGGGAAGTCGAGGAGATGGTTCTGGGTGTGAAAAAGGGTCTCTATCTAGTCACTGAATCCTCCACTGTCTACTCTTTGTGTGTAAAGATGATTCCAATATTATCAGACATTGTTCTCAGCTGTCCAGGAAGACAAGCCTCTGTCAAAGAAGGAGGTATACAAGTGCCCTGTGATGGTGTCTCCAGCAATCCCAGCCATGCCAGGGCCTCAGCCCGTTGTCTCTCCTTTCTGTTTTTTTGGTTTTTTTTTTTTGACTTGGAGTCTCACTCTGTCACCCAGACTGGAGTGCAGTGGCCGCTCCCGGCCACCGCAGCCTCGACCTGCTGGGCTCCGGCGATCCTTCCGCCTCAGCCTTCCAAGTAGCCAGAATTACAGGCATGTGCTACCACGCCCGGCTGATTTTTTGATTTATTGTAGAGATGAGGTCTCGCTGCCCAGGCGGGTCTCGAACCCGCGGGCTCAGGCAATCCACTTACCTCAGCCTCCCAAAGGCACAGGATTACAGGCTAAGCCACTGAGCCCGGCTTGTCTCTCCTTTCTGTAGCACCTGTGACTATGAGGCCACCATTTCCTTGCACTGTGTCTTTGAAAGTATTTACAGAGCCTGTCTTTGCCCTTGGTTCTCTCCCTCCCATCTGCACAATTAGCCTCTCTAGGCTCACAGTCCTGGCGTGGCCCTCCAAGCCCTGGGTCCACTGAGCTGCCGTCCTATTTTCTGAAAGTCTGTCCCCCATATCCTTCCTGTGCTGTAGGGCCCAGAATAGCACTCGCCAGGCTGGCCTCCCTGCCTCTTGCTGGATTCTCTCTGTTCAGGGTTTCCTTCCCAGAATAGCCACTTCATAACAGGATGGCAAGAATCAGCCCGTCTCAAGGCACCATGCTCATTCTGAAAACCAACCACAAAAGAAGCTTCCCTCCCTGACTGCCTCCTCATGCTGCCCACCTGTAGCACCAGACCCTGCCCACCTGTAGCACCAGAACCGAGTGGGAGGGAATCTACACACTGCCCAGTTTCCTTATGAAACTGACACACGAGACTGTCACATAGGATCTGAAACTGCAAGACTCCTCAGGACATCTCTTTCTGGTCAGGAAATGGTTTTTTGAGGAATGTAACTCTCTGAGGAAAAAAAATGTTTTGTGAATTTTTGAGCTGCAGAGACACTAGGGAGGCTGAGGATTAGGGGCTTCCTAGGGAGGGGCAGTGCTCTAAGCTGCCACCCGTCAAGGACTTCCCATCGTGAATGACAGACATCATTACCTCAGCCAATTCTCTCAGACACCCTGAGCGATAAGTATTTTAAATCCCATTTTACAGATGAGAAAACCTGTGTTCATAGAAACCAGATGATTTACCTAGCCTAGCTGGCTAATTAGAGGGAACAGACTGTATGAGCACACCTTCTCGCCATTCTAGAGAAGGTTGTTGGAAGGTAAGAATTAAGCTGCTTCCTACACATTCAGCCTAATGTGGAGGATGGATCTTATGGCCACATGGCAACCAATTGGGAAGTCAGCAAAAGCTGTTTCTGGTTCTTCTCCAATTCCTGTGTTCCTCAGCTTCCAGGTACCCATGCTCTTCCTTGGTCCTGTCCTTGCCCTCATCCCACCATGGGATTCATCATGAAGGTCACTGCTAGAAAGAAGTTTAACAGGAAGGAATGAAGCACTCATCATGGCATTTCTGTGGGTGAAAGTTCTGCAGTGTGGGCATTCCCAGGAATGCCCACTTTCCCACTCTGACATGACATGGGAACCCCTGTGTGGAGGGACACGCTGGGAGGGCTGTTGTCTGTCCAGCCCTGGGAGCCTGGCAGCCTCACCTGAGGACAGGAGCTTGTGTGTTCGCAGGAAGCTGATGGCCAGCCGCATGATAGAGGCCTTGTCCAGATGGGAGCTCACGCTGGGAGGCAGGGGCAGCTCATGGGCCAGCTCGTAGAACACCTCTGTCTCCTTGCTCCGCCGGCACCGTGCGGCATCCCGGGACTTCTCCTTCCTCCTCTCCGAGCTACTCCTAAATGGAGAGAGAGAAGGGGTTAGGCCCTGAAAGGTCACCATCATCCTGTCACACCCTGGTCAAGACATCCCCACAGCCCCCAACCCACGGTGCAGCCAAACTCTCCCACTGAACTGATCTGGATTCACACCGTTCACTTGGGCCTGCATTACATTGTTTGCTCTGCTTTCGTGTGTGTTGGTGTCTCCCCTTGTATTCTCTGTGGGATCCAGAATGTGGGAGGGGTTTTGGCAAGGATGTGCGGATTAAAGTAAATGGCAATGCCTTGGACTTGGCCCTGGGTTATCTGGGGAAGGGGGTGAATGTCCAGGGATGGCAAGAGAAGGGTAAGGACGCTCTGTTCAGTGGCCGAGATGGCTCTGTCAAAGGCTCTGGGATACAAGATGAAAAACGGCTTCCAGGTTCTCTTCTGGATAAGACGTGTCCAGAAAAAATTAAGCCCAGTAATGGTGCTTAAATCCCACTTCAGATCAGAGATTTCCACAGGAAAAGTTGAAAATGCTATTACAGCCTCAGAAGAACAGTTAGTCACACATCCATCAGTACCAACATGCACACCTGTTCAAGAGTTCACATTTCTCTCTAAACCTGCCCACATAAGGCTGCCAGTCTGTCTCACGCTCATTTTCTTCTTTCTTGCAGGATGCAAGGGAAGATGACACACACCAAAGCCTGCCTCTTTCAGAAAGTCCAAAAGAAATCCTGGATCTTCTTATAAAGTCCATGTCAAGTTCTAGCACAGGCAAGCTTAAAAGCCAGAATTGTCTGGGCTGGAATTCTAACTTCTCTGCTTGCTAGTTCTGTGCACAAATTATTTACACCACTTAACCTTAGTGGTGTAAAATGATAATGATAATAGTACTCATCTTAGTGGTGTAAAATGATAATGATAATAGTACTTACTCTACAGATTTATTATCAAGACTAAATATGAAAATTTATGTAAAACTTTTAGCACCAGGTCTATTCCAACTGTAAGCAATGTTAGCTAATACTAATAAAAAATCTGTCCATGAAAATACAATCATGAGAGTTAAAAAGTTACAAAATAGTACAGGACAATCTTATTTTCACAGAAATGTACGTATCATACATAATGATTCCTATAAATCATATAGGAAAAAGCCTACAAATATAATAAAATAATAATATTTTATAGACATAGTATAGTGCTTACCGTATTCCAGGTACTGTTTTAAGTTTCTTTCTTTTTTTTTTAATTTTGAGTCAGAGTCTTATTCTGTCTGGAGTGCAGTGGCACGCTCACGACCACCACAGCCTCAACTTGCCGAGCTCAGGTGACCCTTCTGCCTCAGCCTTCCAAGTAGCTGGAACCACAGGAATGCGCCACCACGCCTGGCTAATTTTTTTGATTTAATGTACAGACGAGGTCTTGCCAAGTTGTCCAGGCTGGTCTCAAACCTCTGGGCTCAGGCAATTGTCTGGCCTCTCCCTTTCAAAGTGGTGGGATTACAGGCATGAGCCACCACTCCCAGCCTTCTTGGCTTCTTTAACTTGCACAACTACCTGTGGAAGTGAGTATGATTATTAGCCCTAATTTATAGATGAGGAAACTGGCCCACAGAGGCTTGTGGCCACTAGCAGGTAAATGAGGAAGTCAGGCTTTGCCTTGGGCAGGTGGGACCCAGAATCCAGGCACTTAACCATCAGTGGCTATCATGTTTCTCTGTGCTCAAAAATGTTAGCAGTTGCAGGGCAGTGAGGCTAGGGAAAGTTTTGTTTTTTGTTTGCTTATCTATATTTTCTTATGTATAAATAACTTATACTGCTTGTTTAATACAGAAACACGTTTTTTAATTTTTTTAAAAAGTGTCCAAGCCAGATGTGGGGCATGCATGAGGCTGAGGAGGGAGGATTGCTTGAGGCCAGGACTTCAAGGCCAGCCTGGATGACACAGTGAGACCAGGTCTCTATAAAAACCAAAACAAAACAAAATGTATCCAATGTAGTTTATGGCTCTCAAGACCTCAATCCAGCCAGTTCCAACTCGCTCACCCTGTCTTGCCTTCTGAGATTTCCCAAAAGCTTCTCCTTTTGCTTGGTGTTGCAGTTTGTTATCTGGACAGAAAATCAGTACGCTGGGATTCATGGAATGTTGACAAGCCTCTCAACTCCCCTCAACCCCCAGATTCGTGGCAGAAGCACTGTTTTGACTTTGCAACATGCTTCATTTAAAAATACAGAACGTCCAGCTCCCTTGGATGGATTAAGCATCATATACTCAAGACAGCAGCAAGACGTGTCCAACAGCTGTTGATGGTCAGCAAGAACCTTCAGGAAAATTGTGAAATGAGTCAAACTGCTTTTCTTGCCCTGTCTCCCTTTTCTGTTTCCCTTATCTGACCCTGCTTCCCTCTCTCCCTGACTTTCATCTCTCAGGTTTCCTACCTCTGCACTCTGCTTTTCCCCACCTTCTCAGGACATGCCCTGAGCTGACCTTTAGTGGCAGTTTGTATATTAGTCTCTCTCATTTGCATTTTAATCCTGACCTCTGACTGTGAAGAAAATGCAGTTCCAAGTTTTCTGGAACAGGAAAGGAGGTTGGGAAGGGAGTGGGACACAGAAACCACACACGTCATGCCCTTGGGTCATGAGGGCCAGGTGAAAGCACTGATTCTGTTCTCCAGCACCAACCCCTGCACCTCTCGCAAAAGCATCATCAGGATGTAACTTCCATCATTAGGGGCAGAAGAGCGCCCAGCCAACATCTGCATACACAAAGCTTCTCTTTGCCATTGCCCCTTCCTTGGGGTAGAGAAAATGACAAGGAAGAGAGGTAAAAACAAGGCAGTGCTTTGACAAGGACATTTGAGACTTGAGTCCCCTCATGCTCCTCCAACCACACTAACGTTTACTGACACCAAGGCACGGCACCAAGAACCTTACATAGATCATCTCATCACAATCTTGCTAAAAACACGATATAGTAGGTCTTGTTTGCACAATTTACAGATGTAGAAATTGAGACTCAGACAGAAGATGATATTTAACGAAGGTCACAAACCAATGTCTACATAAGCCCTTGGAGGGTTTACCATCAGTGAACAGACACTGAGAAGTCTTGAGACATGGGGCTACCCTATCTATTTTCCATACTTGCAACCAGGTAAGGTAGGCAAGGCAAGCATTGACATTGTCCCCCTTTCACAGATCTTGAAACTGAGACCCAACTAGGGTAAGTTACTTGTCCAGGACAACCCAGCTAATTAGTGGCAGAGCCAGGGCTAGAATCCTCCTCTTTCTAGGCAACACTCTTCACTGCTTAACTGTAGGAGAGAGTGGCTTTAACAAGAAATACAGAAGCATCTTAACTTTTAGAAAAAGAAAGATTGGGAATTTTAGGCAGCCTCTTGGTTTAAAAGTCAGGGAAGCAGGATTTCAGCTGAAACTAAAAGAGAAATAACAACACCCTTACCGTGTTTTAGGGTTCAGAAAGCCCCTAATTATTTGTTATACATGTGTTATCTTCATTTGATTCTCATAACAACCCTGAGAGATAGAAACTGTTAACCCCATTTAATAGCTGAGGACATGGAGACTTAGAAAGATTACATAATTTTCTAAAAACACTGTCTCAAACTTAGTTCTTCTGGGTCCAAGATCAAAAGTTTTCCCATTGACAGCAAGGAAATTACTGTGTACTATGCAACTTCGACATGCCCAATGTCATGTTAGATACTTTCTCACAAAGTAGATGTTCATAGATACTATCAGAAGAGGAGGGCTAAGATTTGAAAGAGGCATAGTGACAAAAGTCCTGTGGAGGGAGACTGTGTCCTTAAGTGAGCAACCACTCACCTTAGGAGAATACCCGGGACCTTATGAGTAAGATGAAAAACACGTATTCGAGTGCAAATAGGGTATGAGGGGGCAAAGGGGAATGAATCAGCGCTGTGGGCCTTACTAGACATGGGCCCTGTCTCCGTGGGGCCGGGTTTGTGGGGGGGTGTGATTAGATGTGACTCCACAGCCCTCTATGAAAACAGCGGGTCCAGCCCTGCTGTGACATCTATCTACACTGCAAGTGGAGAGCAAGCCGTTTCTGTCTGTGTGGGTTTTTTTGGCATTTTAATATGTGCAAATTTATACTTACTCTCCCAAAGTTGGAAACCCACATTCTGAAACATTTAATCACAATGAAAGGAAGCAACCACTTAAGAACCAGGCAGCCAGCCAAAAGATAAAACCATCCCCCCCAAAAGGCAGCAGGTGTATGCTACACCCCAACCATGAAAAACCCCTTTGCCCAGAGCTTATCTTAAAAACATCTTAACTTTTGGGCCATTGCTCCAAGCATGGCTTAGGGATCCCTACTTAAGTCATTAATCTCATGATGAGCTGCTCTTGGTCAAGATGATCCTGGTTTCTGACTTCCCCATGAACATACCCTAGAGTGAGTCCCCAGTATATCACCAGCTGTATGGAGGGGGTCGATGGCTTAAGTAGCTACAGGCTCCTGACCTTTAGAGTGATTAGGACTCACATGCCTAATGCCTATGGCCATCCGGGTATCAAAACAACGTGCCCAGCACCCTATAAAGTTAAATGGCTTAGAAGCAGAATGGATTTCAGCAGGTCATGGAGATGACTGAAGCTAATTAAGTAGCTTGATTCAGTCAGTTGGTTGGTGGTGAAATTCTAAGCTTGTGCCAAGTCGCAGGAGGTTGTGAATGGAAGAAATGAAGGTCAAATGCAATTGGGAGGGTCTAGTAACCCTTCAGTGAGGCTGCACAGAGCCTGCCCAATGGCAGAAACACACCTGGCTTTAGAGATCAGGAAGAATTATTGCCTCCCAACTTATCTGTTGATTGCCTCATGGATTAAATTAGAACAGAACCAAGCAGGGCTTCTCAATCTTGGTGGCTCACTGAAATCACCAGAGGAGCCTTAAAGCACTGATCCCTGGGGTCCTAGCCCTAGAGATGCTGATTTAATAGGTCTGAGGTGCAGGCTGGGCGTTGGGAGTTTAAAATGCT